TGGGCTGGGAACGATACAAAAACAGAAGTGAACTCTTCTCAGCAAAGGGCAAATCACTCGGAACCCTCTTAGATAGTTTGGTAGTTTATATTACTTACTAGCCGAACTACCTTCTGAATAACAACATACATTCAGGCCGTGGATCGGTGGCAGAATATAAAGGACAGTAATACAAAGAAATGTATCAGGATAGCACGTGATTCGGCGAAATGCTCATTGAATGGCGACAAACGCGGTTAGCTTTAAACGCGTTTGAGATTCGTGTTATAAGGCACAAGTCTATAAATTACTCACAACTACCTACATTTTCATCAAGAAATATTATGCTATTTGTGTTAATTGCTAATAAGAATTCAGTCTATTGTGCTATGCGCGCTCGCCGACAGAAATGCTCTTCAAAAAAAAAACCAAATCACCTTGGCCGAACAAAAGACAAGACGCTCTTCTTTGAAAAAAAATTATAATAGAAAAAAAAAACACTGTTCTGAAGAAAGAATTAGTCTTCACATGATCTTCATACTGTCTAGACAAGCATCATGCGTTACAATCAGTCTCGGAATGATATAGATTTTGGAAACGTATATGATAACATCATTGTTTTCTAGAAAGCGAGTGCCAACAAAATACACATTGCTTAATCTAAGTGAAAATGTGTCTCAGGGTTCACGGTCTTTTGGCCTAGCTTCGCTGTGTTTAGTCAAACTCCGTTCCAACTGACTGCCCGACAGGACTAACCCTCGCGTGTACCCCATGACAAACTCTTGCGATAGTCCCTAAGTGGGTTAGACAACGCTATAGAGGGACGCCATCTTTTTTTTCGATTGGCCACTCACAACAGCCATCTCGAACCGCGATGCGGAGCGATCGACATCAGCACTCCACTGTCACACGTACGCATGTGAGTACAGTCGCATTGATGGCAACAAGGCGAATTTTCCCCCATGAGAAAGGCGCGCGAACGGGGTTCCCACGACAACGAGACTCAGCTGACGGGAGTTTCCCCCCAACCAGCGAGAAACTGAGAACGAGAACATATCCCCCCGCTAGATAACCCTGTCTCTCCACGGTCCAGTCAAATGTGGAAGGACAAGGGAGTATACTGAGCATGTTAAACAGGAGGCGTAGATTTGAATACTTGACAAAACTAAGTTCGCTCTCGTAGACTAACAGTGCTTTCGTTCCCATGTATAGGTAACGTGGTTGATTGATAGTATAAGTATTACGCGTACGTCTATCGATCGTGTGCAAAACCCAACAACTAAAATACGAACAGAAATAAAATAATCTTGCTAACAATAATAGGTTGTAGTACCCTGTCCATTGATTAACGTTCTTTCATCGTAATTTATTTATTACCTTCTATACTTACTAAAATTGTCCGTACATACACCGTTAATCACTATTCCATATTTAATTCTGTTTAGAGACATACTGAAAGACAGTATTTGACATAGAACTCAAAAAGCAGAAAAAAAAAATCTATTTCGTTAATTAATCGTAAGAATGTGGGAAACTCTTAGAATAAATATCCGATAAACCATCAATTTCACGGAAACTTCCGCTGACAACAAAGTAAACGACCTGTCAAGCAATACCGCACCTACAGATTTATTCCCATTACGAAGCGTATAAATCTAGACTTACCCACACTTGTACCTAGAAACTGTACGTATTCAACGGAAGTGCGCGCCATATTTGGCCATAACGATGTTACGATAGTAAGATGTTACGCGGCAGAGGCAGGTGTTCAGGAGCAACTGGACCTTATCAGAGCTTTCTACGGTGAAATTTGTCTGCCCCGGAGCGCAACAGACAGCCTATTGACTTTATACGGTTTCTGCACTAGTTTTTTTCTTCTTTTAGTTGCTCCGAGCCATGCTGCGGCTTCATAGTGAGCGCTCTATGCCATCTGCTCGTATCTATCTGAACAATAGCCATCAGTCGACATCACTCGGACCGAGGTACTCTACCGAGGTCTAAGGTTTTTTTAGCCAGTTCGCCTAGCTCCACAAATTCTCGCGATTGTTGCTTACATTGCGTAGAAGCTATGCACTCCCGTCGGCACAGCCTATGTCTCCCTATCGACGGGGCGCAGGACCCGCAGCCCGGATTATTTACACATTTACCATATATACAGTGGATAATAATCCCGGGCTAGGGGTCGCCCGCTCTGTTGATAGAATATACATATATGTATACAGAGAGAGCCGTGGAGCGTGCGAGCTATCGTGGTTATGTCACTTGAATTTGATCGAGGGAACGCAGCTGTAGTGGGAAAGTCTATTCGTTGTCATGATGACACACAGTGAAAGAGCTGCTGCTCAAGGGAACTTAAGACTTTAAAGTTGTGTTTACATCAGGATGCGCTATATGGATCCTGTTCTACCCGGCAGCTAATAGCCAACTGGATATATTACGGGACGATTAAATTGGGACCAAGTAACTTTAATCTCTTTGTTGTGTAGATGACTAGGAGGTAGATATCGTATGTAAAAATCGTGATAAGGGAACGTGTTTCGCCTGTTGGGAATGAGCAAATAAAAGTAAGAAAATAATGTATGCCTTACCTAACATCCTGCATTATTTGCGCCACGATGCATAGTATACTGCTGTTAAGGCAAATATTTAGTCACTTATAATACAAAATACGAACACATTGTACTGCAGTAGTATTTACAGAGCATGATGAGGCCAAGGCTACTTGAAGCTCCTATTGATTCGGACCTGTTGTTAGTTAAATTGCTTGGACCTTTTGAGAGTTCAGACATTAGTTGTGCGGTTGGGCCTTCCCGATGTACATTAGGCTCATGTCATGACAAGTCCCTGGTCAGGGTTGCTGTAGTGGAATAGCTGCGCAATGTGGCTTCTTTTCCACTGTATACCCAAATTATTGTTTCGACTTCAAATTCATACAATTTTTCTTGTATACATGTACAGCCCTCTTCGTTAACATTTCCTTGTCGGTGGGAAAAAACTTTGTGCTCCTATAAACTAAGTAGTTTGAATATATATATATATATATATATATATATATAGAAGAGAGAGAGAGAGAGAGAGAGAGAGAGAGCTTCCCCTTTCGTCAGAGCGACTTTTTTTTACTTCAGCTATTCTCTAGCCATCTCCCGGTTCATTGTGTTGCTGCTACTATATGTGCAACGATCCATAAAACTTCCTCAAGCTATGCCGGCCCCTCTCGGGCCGGCCTAGCCTCTGCCAGCATCGTTCAAGGGTGCTCAATAGTTTAGAGCTCGGCCACTAGTGTGCTGACTGTTGTACGCTCCAGGCGTAGCTCACGCTATGCATGCGACGAAAACGACTACGAAGCGGAATGCCATAGGTTAAGGCTGTTGCCGCTTATATCTATGACGATTCGGTTTGGCGGCACATCACCATCGGCACGACGGCACGCGCCACCTCGATGCAGCGAACCCGTCTGGGTGAAAGCAGAGAGTCGAGGCGATGATCGCATAGAAAGCCGCTCCCCCCTTATAGACGAAGTGTTTGTACGCGCATGGTTCTAACCCTCAGTTCATTTCTCGAACGCTGGCAGCCAGACGGTCGCTGACTCTCGAGCTATGGTCTCGCGCGCGTTGTTGGGCCGGACTTGTGACGCCGTAAGCAACCGCCACAGGCCGGGATCGGCAAAATTCGTGCGTGAGCCACTGAGTAACACCAGACAGGGGGTGACTCTGGTTAGGTAGAGATCGGCGCGGATCGAGTCTGACTGGATGCAGCCGGCTGCCTGTTTAAAATAGATAGAAGGAAAGCTGATAATGGTGGTGATGCCGTTGATGTCGCGCGTTAGTGCTAGTCGCTCGTGGCCATCTGGCGAATAAGCGGCATAACAGCAACGCCGTTGCCAAACGATGAATACGCAACAGTGTCTTCGATATGGACCGTACTGTCTTCTTTATTAGCTGTGCTGGGAGAAATAAAGTGCTTGAAACGCAGGTCGTAACCATGTCTACAATCAGAATGACGAAAACGGTAAAGACTGAGCACATGAAGATGTGCAGAGCGTTTGGTGTCGCGTGCTCGCGTTAATAATGCTAAATAATCGCACACTATAGAACGTTAATTCGGCGATGCTACAGTATTCAGAGCAGATGCAGAAACATTGAATTAACGCTCATACGGTACGTTATTTATTTAATTACGGTACGCGTTAGTTGACAAAATGCGACAGTCCTCAAGAACCCGCTCGAATTCGCATCAATAGCGTATGATGCAGACCTTCGCGTTCACGAAAACATGTTCGTGCACTGCACGAGTTAAAGAGTTTGTTTAGAAACTTAAACATGACGGAGCCAGGTCTTTCATAGGTAGGAGACTTAAAGCGTTCAAACACAGTTCATGTCACGTATACGAAAATTGCACAGGGGGCTTATTCGCAAAATACAAATGAAATTCGGAACGTTGCTGCCTTTGGCAACATATTTAACTCGCGCGAGCGTAGTTAAATCGAAGAAATTTTTGGGCCTTGTAATTCGTACATATGTAATATACTAGATATTTAGCCGGCTTCCGATATATATATATATATATATAGTACTTCTGAACACTGATAGTATTCAAATGCATCTTCAATTCTACTAGAAAGCGAGTTAGGCTTTCACCAAGAGAAACCTGCCACCGACTTAAATTCGGTAGGCTCTGTCCCTACGTAAAACGTGAAAGGTGAACGTTATTGATCATCAATGCCATTCTCTGAGAGACCGGAACAGCATGTCTAGTTAATTAGGCTGATCGCCGAATAGGTTCAGCTTTTCAATTTCGATCCTCACTGGTTAACTCACATAGCTGTTGAGCGTTCAAACATTAAGTAAGTAACTACTTTTTGTCATACCGAAACGCGACGTTTGTCTGCGTTAAATTTACGAGTAAAGCTTACTATGTCTGAGTGTGCGATAGACTCTCGTACAATTTGCTTTTCCTCACATCGAGAACTTGTCACACATACAAAGAATTTAATAAGAGTGATTATTAAATAGACTACGAACCTTTTATGTAACCTGTCGTTGTTCCAGCAGTGGGCAGTCACATTCGGTTATAACTTGGGATCACGAAATCAACCAAGTATTCCAAAACAACTTAGTTTTTTCCAACTCGACAGTGACAACTGTGATGAAACAATAGATGAGCTTCTAAAATTTTCCGATGATCGTTAGCTCCTATCTCATATAGCCATTCCTGCGGTTCGTTACGCTATTTTTCGCTCTGTTACATACAGGGTTACTTCGCAAATCATCAGCTTCACCTCTCTACCAAGTATATTTCGTAGAGGATTTATTTTTGCTTTCGAGTTTCGCTTCGTTTTAAGCTTTTTCTTAAGTGTCTGAGCTGAGTAAATCCTATCTTCACATAGCAAGCGATTCAAAGGCTTCACTGAAATCTCACAAGGTAGAGATGCTAATTTTTCGAAAATCGCATCTAGTGTACAGTGTACAGACACGCGCCTCCGCAGCCGAAATTGCCACAGACGCGAACGAGTTTCACACAAACAGTGAGGCTGCTTCGCTGTGTCATTACACGTCCCGTAGTTCGGTCGAACTATCTCACTATAGTCTTGTGCTAGACAAACAAACGTGGAGCAAAAAAAAACTCTTCGCCCGATCCCCGCATAAAGCAGGAATGTATACCAACGCCTGCTGCGCGAGTTAGATGAGAGCCGTTCGCTCACCGATAGTACAGTCGCTGCAACGGAGCTGCTGGTACTAAAAGCGTCTGAAAATTGCCGGTATCTAACCCGTAGTTGGGTTTTGGCAGAGCAACACAGCCTGGCGCCTTATGGGAAGAGTCAGGATGGTGAAGCGGAGAGGGCAGTCGTGGGAGAGGGAATCTCGCTGTCCCAGTTGGGAGATGTTTGGCAGAGATTTAGTAGGTAGCTGACCCTGTGAATATTTGATGGCGACAGGCGGAGGTGAAAAGCTCCAACTGGGCCGAAATGCAGTGAAGTCCGAATAGAGAGTTCAGGATGTAGAGAGGGGAATGAATTATAATAAACACTGTAACAGGCTTGCGATAGAATAGGTTTGATATAGCGAAAATATAAATGTTGCCGACGTCATGAAGTTTTTATAATAAGAGGGGCCATCGATTAAAAAGATGAATGCGGAAACGGTCAGGAGATGACGGCAGTGTGAGTTTTGACGTCTGATATTGCTATCGGGCGTTGCTTAGGATCGCTAAAGGCCTTGTCCACTATGAAACAGAGTGTGTTTAAGCTCAATCTAGGTTCAAGATCACTTCTATAAGTTTAGAAAGCGGAGACATCACCATTACTGGAATAAACTTATATGCATCTTGGGCGTTTATTGCTTGAATGTTCGGCATAGCTAGATTTAGTCTCGAACTATCTTGGATAATATATAGTAAGAAAAGTTCCTAACCTCGCGCTAGAGATTTTTCTATTTTCTCAATTTGTTCATATGAGCTAGAAGACTAAATACACAGATTTTTGTACTGATATGAGTTCTATGGTATACATTGTGGTACCATTGACGATCTGAAGGATATTCTAAATTTTTCTATATTTCACGTTCCGTATTTTCGTTAGGCATAGCTTCAGACGGCTGGCTGTAATCAATACAAAATCAAGCGCTTCCAAATTCAGTTTTGATCCAAAGCGATTTCGAATTTATTCCAAGTTTTATTAGATCAGAGAAATCAGTTTGCTGACGACGGCGCTGTTATCGCCGAGTACAAATGACGCTAAAACAGTGTACATTTTGCCGATTATTATATATAGATATATATATAACGCACAAAGCTTTACTCTAATATTGAGAAGTTATTGAGACCTACCAGGGCCTGCATTGACTATTTTCTCTTATCGGTGTACACCGCCGATATTTTATCCTATAAAATATTTACTAGTATTAGCAATCTAACTGTGTCAGAAAGTTGAGCCGTAGCCAAGATAATGCTGTTATGAAAAAAGAAGATATTTAAAAAAAAAAAAAAAAAAACTGCAAATCTAAGGGAACCAGAAAGAGTCAGTGAAATCAAAAGACAGCTCAGCTCATTGACAATGAAAGCATATTTATTTTTGGAAAAACATCCTCTATTACAATCACGGTCCTTGAGCAACGAAATTATGGTCAAAACTAGCTCAGTATTAAACAATGTGAAATGGAAACATAGTCACAACAAAATAGACTTTTATTTTGTATACTTATAGTATATTGCCAACAGCGGCGTCTACTGAACCATCCACATTTCTTATACCGACCTATTATGTATTACCGTCGATTACTCATTTTAAATGCGGGCATTAAAACATTGCCCAAAAGTTTCGACTACCGCGAAAAACAACACTTAGCAGTTTCTTCTAAACCACAGAACTCGAGGCTTTCGACGGGAACAGCCTTAAAATAGACGTATTTTATTTGAGGCATAAAGAAGTGTCAAATAAAGTGCGAATCCGTATGACTGCATCAACCGCCGACTTCTTCTTCGCGTATTTTGCTGTGGTTTTATTAGCTGTTTCTTTTATTTAGTGTACTTTATCGTGGAAGGAAATATTTACTTTATTTGATACAAATATCGCTTGCAAGTGTATTTTATTTTAGAATTGAGTAAGCTAAGAGGAAGCATACAATGGATTATCGCTAGGTCTATCAGACCATAATAATAATAATAATAGTTGTGCGATGCTCTTGAGCGAAGAACCACTTCCTGTCTCGCACTGAATTACTGTGAAAGTAAAATTTTTAGAGTTTTCAATGGAACGCTCCGTAAGTACACTCTATCTTGAAGCGTGTAAATGAACGAACATGCTGAAATTGCAGATGCACAGTAGCCTGTGCCGTAGGAGCTTACCGAGTTGCTACAGAAGTTCTGCTATGGTCACGTGGCAACAGGGTAGTTATATGCGACACAAGGGGGCGCTCATTCGTTAATCACGGTCTTTCTTCAATTCCCAACGGATAGAAAAACCCGGGGTATTTAAAAACAGTCGGGGTGAAACTAATTAATAACAGCACGATTGATGAAAAGCTTCATGATGTTCTGAGAATAAGGGAGAAGGCCAAGCTTCGACATTTATTAGCGATCTGGTCCTGTTTTTTTAGCTCTTTCCAAAACTTGATTGTACCGCGACGTTGATTCTGACGGCAAACATGACTATCCTTGAGAAAAGGTTCCATATCAGGAAGTTGAATCTGCTCGAATATCGCATGAGAAGTCGAAACGAGCCATACACAACAGCCATTTGCATAATAGTTCCGATCCACCAGATTCTGCAAAACAAGAGAAGATAATATTACGTTGAAGAGTAAGTTTTCACGTTTTTTTTCACAAGATTTTTTATTCCATTCTCTTTCACTTGTTATGTACTTCTAAGCACTTTGTTTGTTCGATCACCGTACCATAATGACATTGTGTTATGAGTACGTTACAACTCGAACTGTGCCAGGTGGAAAAATGTATTTTTAACAACTTTTGTACTATGTATTTCGTGAAAGGGACGGCTTATGAGTAATTTGCTAAAATTTAAAATGGTATCCGGGGCCTAAAGGATGCCTCCATTCTAGCAGACCCTCAGAGCTTGATGATAACTATCGCAAGTCACGTTTGAAAAAAACGGCCGACAAACAACTTGAGAATCGGTCCTAAAGATAGGCTGTAACCACAAGACCGTCGCTAAATACCTCGAATCCCTTAGGTTTCTATAGGAACTTGCACTTTGGCTACCTGAAAAACTCTTTGAATCCGATAAGGGATTGTGTCTCAATTTCTCTCCCTAACATCTCGCTTGGTGTCAAGCGTCGCGCGGCTGCAATGATTGATTTTTGCATAGAATTGTCACCGGTGTCACGAAGTGGTGTTTATATGTCTAGATGAACCAAGGATTGGGTAGGTGGCTCCAAGAAAGGAACCGAGATTTAAGATCCAACCAGATCTTCAGCAGACCTCTAAGGGCCTACTTCGCTACTACGAATTGCTTCTTACGAACCCATAGCCCAGCTGCATTAATTAGGTCTTTAATACAGACGAGGACAGGTTCTATTACTCTATGTGAACGCACGGCCATATACGGCATACATTGTCAAAGCTGCCTTCCTGCACTTCGAATAAAAGGTTTTGCTAGAACCTCTATAATCTCTCTCAAATCTTGCTTTAACGGGTTTTCATTTTTTTCGTTTACTGGGCAACCACCTTTGTAGACCTACCTTTTATATGGATTAATAACTCAAACATGATGAAATAACTCCATTAAGACGAAACCTGCTGCTATCTGGCGGCATCTATTCTTTAGTAGAAATATGGAAAAAATCGTGCATTTTTTTATTTTTTATTATATATATTATAATAATATGCATAACATAATTACTTACTGTCCCAAGAAAAAAACGTGATGCTTTCTATTCAGTACAAAAGTCTCAAAAACCTATTATTCAACCTAATCGAATAAAAGATTATGTGGCGATCGCGCGCTTCACAATTAGGAAGGATTATTTTTTGTCTCATGCATGTAGCTCTGGGAGCGATGCTTTTATAAAAAGCTGTAGTTTATGTTCATATAATAATATAGATTGTATAAAGGAATTGTTTTTTTCTACAGTTACCGTTACTCCCAAGTTGTAGGCTAATTATCTATTCGATTCGAGCTACTCGTGACATAAACTGTCGATCTTTCAGTTTGTAAATGATCGATCTGGGAGACGTCATTTTCCCAAAAAATAAATGGACGCTATATTAATTAGGCAGCCAATTTGATCTGTCTAATTTAGATATGCTATTTTTCGTCTCTTTACATCTTGTAAAACAAAAACTCGCAGATACACTTCCGGTTGGTTCTGGAAGAAGCGAACTCAAATTTTAGCTATTGCTGCATCTCAAACGGCAATGTGTCCAGTTACGAAGCCAAGAACTATCCGTTGCAGTTTCACGCTATTTGCTAACCGAAGCTTTATACACTCACATGCTCATGTTGGTAGCAACGATTCCAGTTAATGTCAGCAGGATCAGAGAGAAACGTCTACCGGGGAACTAAACGGCAGTCGGTTGCTTACGACCAAGTGGTGTACTTGCATAGAGCAAGAAAGTGACGACGTCGTTCCGTTATTTCTTACAGATGGATACAACGGTTACCATGGCATAGGATCTATTAAAATTTATCACATGACATTATGACTAGTTGTTCGGAGCTACCAAAACACTTTCGAACTACGTACTTCGATCATGCAGTACATATTCTTATCAGAACCTCGGCTGTCTACCACTATAAGTTAATTAAGTGCTATGAAAAAGTGCTGAGTTTAGAAGCAACGATATCTTTCAGTGCTGAATGTTTCAACACCTCGTGATTTAGCTTCTGCTTCGAGAAAACTGGTGAAATAAATTGAAAATTAATAAAAACAATGACCAAGGCGGTCCTTAGTAAAACGACAGTTTTTTTTTTGTTCTATTGGCTCAATCATCTTAAAAATGAAAATTAGGACGCCAACCCGCTAAATAGTTCCGGATAACCTTAAATATTTAGTACCGAAATTGATCGCGTGTCAGTTCTAAATTCCTCAAGTATCATACTTAATTGCCTAATCCCTGCGGCTAACCTTCCCACGATCTTTGTGTTAGTCAATGCTGTTGTTATCCGTTGCATGTCCTCACCTTCCCTCGGCCTTTTCGCCCTTCGCGGCCTGCGAGGTCAGGTCCGTCCACGAGGGTCCCCGTTTTTCCGGGTATTTCTCACTTCCCACAGGTTTTCGCTTTGAGGTGCTAATGTCGTGACACTTACTTCCACCTTTGCTGAAATTCCCATATTTCAGACAACAAACAGCAGTGCTCCTCATGCAAACACACAGACATTCGCGTACAAAAAACGTACCCAACCGTACAAGCAAACGACACGTAGGAAGGACGAACAACATTGAACAAACACGACTGAACCCCAACTACGAAAGCTCCGCAACGAGACGGTGATTAGTGATATTCTCTATTTTTAATGGTGTCCAAGGTAGATAATAGTAGCTGGATGCCTAATAGATTACTGCACAGTACCCGATCGATGAGAATAATAACTTAAAACATTTAAATAAATAAATAAAAAATTTAAAAAGAAAACAAGTTGTAGGCATTCAAAAAGTTTTTCTTTAACCAAGTAAGCAGAACATTTAGTAAAGAAAGTAAATAAAAAAAAAAAACGAACAAATGTATATATTGTACAACTACCGCAACATAAGATCGATAAGTAACGAAATCACACTAAAAGCTGTGTTAAACAAGCAAATTGTGGATAGACAACAGTGTTTCTTAGTGAGATTCGCTCATCTGAAACACGATTTCATGCCGGAATAAAACATAATAACATCGACATTGTCAATTTGTGGCAATAGCACGCAGAAAAAGATTTAATGGTTCTAGGAAAATCTTACCTGTTGAGTTTGGCCCGAGCCGCCGGAATGGTCGAAGGATCCTCCTTAAGGACATATTTGCGTACGCCCAATATGTATTGCTCGAGGAACGATAGCCAATCCATCGGTCTGCCAAAGCAAATTTCAATTGAGAGCCATTAAAGAATCTCATCATTGTCGCACATTTGCTCAGTAATGTATCTACAGTTAAGACAATTGTGAATGAAACAGTATCCAAAGATGACCACCAAAAAAGCGGACACATGAAAATGGTTAGACTCGTATTTAAGGCTGTAGCAAAATGTAGTCCCCTGTTGTTTTGTAGACTGAGGTCATACCTGATATCGAAGTCAAAGTCTTCTCTATCTTTTGGGTGTTTTATGTGGTCCAGTAGATTGTGAACGTTGTCGATCGAGAACTCCCATTCGTGTGTCGTGAAGTACTCAAGAATATGCATGGCTCGATGAATCTTTCCATATACCTCGCCCAAGCTAAGTGGAAAAGCATTGCATTAGTCTCATAGCCAATCAAAGTTTTTTTTGGCACATCTATCGTCTAAGGAAACTAGGTTGAAACAACTTATTTTATCTATACTCGCATCGCTTGGCTTAAAGTTGGGTGGTCAGCTCGACAAGATTTGTTTGTATCAACGTTAATCTTTAACGTTAATTTCTACATTTTTAGAGATGGAGCGTTAAGAAACCGGTTAGTTTAGCGCGAAAAATCACAATACTAACTACACCGGTTGTCATCTGAGCGTTACCGCTTTTGTACTAGTTGGTATGAAAAAAAAATAACTAACATAGGCTTGCGTCCGAACATAACCGCGAACGAGTCCGCTATGAATGCCGGAAGTGAATGATCGAGTGCCATTGCGATACGGTTCCAAAATTTCGACTCTTTGAACGAACCGCCGGGGTAGCGAAAGATTTCCATAGACGGATTGGCTAAAACGATTGGCTTTGAATACTCGAAGATCTGTCTCCAGGTCAACTGATGAAGAGGTCCAGTGGTACAGTTTATAACATACGGTGATACGAATTTCTTCTGTGAGCAATACCAAGCCGAAGCGACCATCATTCGAGTGACCAGATCGACAGGATACACATCAGCTACACTATCAGGCCGAATATACATTGTACGTAGTACACCTTTGCCAGTCTGCAAATAAATTGAACGTGCAGAAAAGTACAATTGAGCATGACTTGTTTCGGCTGACCCTCCGCTTAAACACCATGCAACTTTCGGCTCTAAGCTCTATTTGGGCACTACTGAAAAATTTAGTATGATTTATGTGTTGTTTTTATGGACTGAATGTTTTCGTGTACTATAATGCCGGCTTCAATAAGCATAATGAAAAAAAAACTGATTTCGCCTTACTGCTATAACGAAGCCGGCGGGCCCGTTAAAGTTATCGACCCAGCCAGCAAGTGGTTCCCTCCAGGCAGCGGTTACAATTGACGGCCTTAAAATGACTATAGGTATTCCCCGTCCTTCTTCAACGAGCAACCTTTCTGCTAAAGCCTTTGTGTAGTGATATGTTGACGGTCGGTTGTCCATAATAACGGAGAGGCAGTTCTTTGCGGTTTCATCATCCATCCATTCGGATGCATCGATAACCTGTAAGTTGATCAGAAAATGCGTTTTTTTTTTTAGTTGATTATGATTATTTGGAATAAGCAGGGCCTGCGTTTAGCCAAACGAGCTCTATTTATATTCAATCGAATATGCTGAATATCGCTGAACTTAGACTGCCAAAGGTACTTTGTAATCGAACTAAATAATAGGGCTAGACTGTGTTTCACGCTATCGTCAAAGGGTTCATAAAATTAACAAATAATGTAGTAATGGTACAATTTGTTTCAAAATTAATTTCTTGTTAGAAAAAGTACCTAACGTAAAGGCTCGAAATATTTTTTTAGTATCGATTGCTACTCCAGATCCGAACAAATTCAGCAGGAACGTATTGACAAAGACGTTGTGGCATGCTAAACTAATATTATAGAGGTGCTCAGAGACGTGGACTCCCATGCTGTATGACACGAACATGAATTGATGTTTGAACAAATAGATGATAAGCTAAGGTTGTAATAACGTGTCTACCTAATAAACCTGAGAACACTTAGTGATGTAGTCTAGGTTCAAAATCAAGTGTAGACTCGTTTGGGTTCGTGGTGGACGCTAATAGTCTGACAAAACAACTGCCTAGGAGTATTGGTAGCAGACGTAAAAAACGTGTACGGTACAATGTTTGTATTATTGATATAAGTAAATAACTTACCTTCTGATAATGGATCTTCTCATCGTAGACTTCTTCTCCGACGTAATTTCGATTGCAGAAGCAATACGCTGTTGACACGTGAACGAATGCTGCGCACGATTTCAGATCGCGACAGAGCTCAAGTACCCGACGTGTACCAAGTACATTAATGTCGATGGCTTTTCGCAGCGGTTCATCAAAGCGCACTGAGGCAGCTGAGTGAAATACGATGGAGACTCTTTCAACTAGTGTTTTCCTATTTTCTTCGCTGAGGCCCAAACCATCAGCGAGAATATCGCCTTCAATAGCGACAACTTTGCTTAGAATACCGCATTTTCGCGTCTGTTCAAATATCTGTTGGTTAAAAGAAATACAAACGAAATTATATACTTTTTGTTTATCTCTTTTATACTGTTTCCTGGTACAGTTAGAACGAACCCTCATTTGTTACTCTATATTTATTTTCTGAACAACGGGCATAGCAGTCACAATTACTCGCGAGCAATTACGTAAAAGAAGTTAATACTGCATCCCACATTTTACTACTGGTGAGATCTTTTCGTTGGTTGGCAACCTTTTGTTTTCAAACAATTCCACCTGCAAACCAATTCTTTGTCATTTTTACTGACTCGCTAAACGTTCTATATGTACGACTATGTAAATTCTCTTTAACGTAATTATAACAAGTAAAAATGCCCTCATTCCATACCGGAGCTTCAAGGACTTTTTCCAGTCTCTGTTGAGGACTCTCGCTATCTTTGCTACGTATTAAACAGTAGATATTGTCAAGACCATGACATGATCGCAGCAGTTTTTCCACGAGAACTTTGCCCAGAAATCCCGACGCGCCTGTGACAAGAGCTGATTTCCCGCAGAAGAAACTTTGTATTGGCGCTTCGGTCGCGGTTCCGTTTGACGTTCCCGCGACGGCCATCTTTCGATTTGCCATCTTGTTAAATTCTAAAATTGAACCAATTAGTGAGCAAATGAGCTGTTATAGGAAGACACCTAAATTAAAATCATAACAAAAATACGAAACACAAATGTTAGAATAGAAATTTTAGAATGTAGAACAAAATGTTAGAATAGAATAGAAGATGTTTTTTTTATTGTTCTAATTAAATTATGTTGTAGTAAACTTCCAGTAATATCATAGGTCTAATTAACGTGAACTATGCTTAACTGAGAATCCCACGATATGTATATAACCAAATAATGTGTTGTTTGCATTTTTCATTAAAATAGACAAATGTTCACCGAGTTCGAAAAAAAAGGAAGATGAATTGTTAAACATAATGCCATGTCCATAATATATCCATGTTTATCAGTGTTGCATACACCCGATAGCCGGCTGTAATCCGACTTTCGAAAGAAAAGTAAGACGACCGTATCAAATGAGTCAGCCTAACCGACCCGAAGGCGGCTTCAGATATAACTTACTTTCCTGGCCTCCGTCGACGCGTGGAAATCATTGCGGATACCCGCGTGTGCTTCACTTGATTGCTTTGGTCGTTTCCCGTTTGGTTTCAGCGTTCTAGAGAACTGTGAGTCATCAAACTCATGAGGATAAACGTTTCGAACACGTTATGAAAGATTCCAAAATAACTGCGTATCATGTGACAACTCAAAGCCTAATCTTTAGATACCCAATGGCTATTTCTGGTAGAAAACAATGATTTTGCAACGAAGTGCAATAATGTTCTATGGTAAAGTCCCTTATTACAGTGGCATTTTCCTCGTTAGTTCCAATATGTTTTTGCGATCGCTGTTGACAGTTGACTTGGTAAAGAAGCTTCGCATGTAGCCGGCGGTAATGCATAGCGGTGTACAGCCTTTTGCAACAGTTTGAACAGCGGCCTAGCTACTGACTACTATGGTAGGAAAAAAAAGCGATCATATCTTTGACAAGATCTTAGCGCCTTTGCTGTCCCACAGGCACAACAAACTAATACTGCATTTATTATTTCCCTTCGTGTTTAGCATACAGTCTAGCCTTGAGTCTAACGGGCCACAAAGACGCTTGAGCCGATACCGGTGCTGCAGTAAGTTCGTCGACAAACATTTCGATGTGAACTTCGTCCACTTTCTCGAAAACTGTCCGCGTTGCCCAAATGGCGCACAGGTTGGGTCTTTCAAAACCGAATTTCGTGGGTTAGTCGATTTTGCGGTCTAGTCAGCGTCTTCGCATTGGATGAAGTATCAGGCGACTGATGCGGTTAAGCCGGGAAGAATTTTAGTTCTATTTGAATGTTGACGAATTCGATCGCTGATTTGTTGCCAGCACGATGCCAGTTGTAAATTATATTATAAAAAGAGTTACTATATGTTTAGAAGAGGCTCATTAATTGTCGACGAACCACGGAATAATCTCCTGACATTTGAAATATGAATTGAAAGTTAGAAGTTGTTTCCATAGGCATCGAACTTCTCGGTATTTTGAAAAATAGTTGGCGATACTCAGTACTCTTCTACGTTCAAGGGTAGACATGGTCAACGGAGAGAGGTTTTTGTCAGCAATCGATTTCACCTGTCATTTGCCTTGAGCGCAGCAATGTCAGCTTTAATCTGCCTGTTGTCGGCTTCGACAGGCATTATCGTTTGACACTGTCTCTCCGCAATTGCCATCGTAACCTTTAGTTCCTCTGAAATAAGCTTACATTTTTTTCGCAGCTTCCTGTGCCACCAGATGTCCCTTTGTGGGTGTAGTCTCTGTTCGGATACGAGGACGTTTGCTCGTTGGCGCATTTCCATTTCTAAAGTGGTCCTTTGCGGCGCAAATTAATTCTCTAAGAAACAAATGATGGGAATCTGCGATTGGATCATCGTTGCAAATGTCTGCGAGGTACATTGCAAACATTTGTTCCTAGCTATTTCGGATGCGGAGGAATGGCGCACAGCTTTTTGGAGGCTGCCTCTGTACGATTCTCGGTGCTGCTCGAAGCGTCTGAGCTCGCCTATTTTCTCGTCACATAGAACCTAATAGTCGAATTGTGCCTGTATGTCGTACGCATAGCAGTCATGTCATCTCGTGTCATACAACACAGTCACGGTTCAGGGCTCGTTGTTTGAGATCTCAGTCATAACAAGCGTTCGAGTTAGATTGGTGGATCTCTTTGTATGCTCTATGTTGGCGCGGACCACAGAGATGATAGCACGTAATGATTCAGGCCAGGGGCTCACTTCCTATTTAGTAGCACACGGAAAGTTAAATATATATCGTAGCAGCTCACAGTGACTTCAGTCGCTCTTATCGCTCGTCTGCAGACCCTCTCTTAGCAGTTCTATAATGCCAAAGTCATTTTTTTTTGTCCTAAATGAGGAGACTGGGATAAGCCGCCCGAAACAAATTTTTCGAGCGTGTATACCAAAAAACTTGCTAGTGACAAGTTCCGTGATAAGTTCATCATAAATTCTCAGTTACGAAAATAACAACTAAATCACAAAATCGACTAGGCGCAACTTGTATCTAAGTTAGGAGTTAGCCATTAAATACACGGGTACGAAACACTTGGACCATTCATATTTAAGCCGAGAGTGAACGTTGAATGTTTTGAATCATGTAGCTTAGAAGGTCCGTTAACTACTATACTGGATAATGTAACTCGTAAGTTTTACCAGCCCAGTAACGTATTTCTCGTTTGAATAATATCTGAACGTTGAATATTTGATTAAAATGTAGCTTTTTTACGTAGTACCATTGTCCATTTGCTTCTGGTCATGTACCTCAATGACAACTTAGCTGTTAAAGTGATATTCACAGATCGAGCTATAAGCTTCCTTGGAATTTTGTTAGATTGCCAAATTTCCACTCTAAGCCTTCTTCAATATTAGGCGGAGTCAACTCAGACTGCCATAATGTCGCTTAACACTCCGATGCGAACCGCATAAATAACGCGTATTTCCACTCTCTGGTCTCAACCATCAACAAACGATCTTCGAATTATGCCTCAGATCGCTACGTTATAGCATGCCCTTCGAGTTACCTTTTTATCAACACTTGTTTGAGTAAATGATCGCCACCCTTTTGCAAAAACGTTTGAATATTCTACAAGCATCCGTTGACTAATGATCTGGAACGGCAATTAACACTACATCCAGCGCATTTAAATTACCTTAATAACAACCTGAACAGCCCCGATCCCTCTTGTGGCTGGAAATTAACGTATGTTCAGGTATCGAAATCTTCTAAGACCAGTCAGCAACAATACAAATAAATCAAGTCTTTCTAATCAGATGATCTTGTAACGCACTTGCTCTGTTTCATGTTATCCATTGAAATATTAAGGATATTATAGTCATGAAGGTTATCCTTAACCTTCAGACGGTCAGGGATCCTACCGTATCGTCACGATCACTGTATACGCTTTCCGCGTCAAATGATTCCGCATCTTCGTCTATCAAACAATGTTTACGGGCAAACACTCTGCGAAAGTTTCACCTTCACCCATGCAAGGGGGTCATTGCCGCTACGGCCGAATTCATCGTTAACCACAGAAAATAGCGGCTATTTTCAGTGGCTTTTGCCGAAACTCACTATCTACATGGGTTTCCGGTTGATGAGATATAATAGGAGAGGACACAAAGGAAAATTTCGCTTTTCACTTGGTCTATCACCGGATGTGTGGAGCTTGTCTGAACTTCCGGTCATGTCTAACCGTTCTGGAGTCTCTTCCGATTACAATCGTGAGATGCGCGCACTGGATTTCGTAGCGACGGAAAATCTGACTTAGTATTTGCAACTTTTTGCACAAGATCGGTAAACGATTAGTGGATATTTAAAAACAGATTATTGTTCAAAATTGCTCTTAAGATCTGTTACATTGCTTTAATTCTCATTACTTACTAAACTCGTAAATTGGCAAAGTTCGCTTAACAACAATGTTTAAGCAATAGTGTTCTATATTGTTAGCAGAAGTTAAAAATGATAATTAACAGACCTACTGCAACTTTTACAATTTGGAACCGTGACAAATCCTAGTCTTTTCTTCGCTTTATTCTACCCAAAAAAAGTTCACAATCTGTATCAACATTCTCTGCTCTTGTATCGAGATTTTTTAGTAGGTCTATTTATTCTTCTATGACATACGTTCGCGCGAAATACATGAATAAGTGAATTTTTGTCAGAAAAACATTCAAGACAGAACAAAGTCGTACTAACTCTTGGATCTGCAGTACTTTAAGATAATCTCCATAGTATCCAGCTCACTATTTTATAGTTATGTCAATGAAACGCGATTCATTGCCAACGTGGTTTAATTGAAAAATATTTGACTGTACCTTGAATGATATCATCGTTAAGTGAAATCAACAAATACTAACTAATAATTTAGGATTGTTCTATTCGTTGGGTAGCAAGGACTCAACACGACGACAAATCCGACTGCTTTTCTAAGAACTAGCTGCCGCAAGAATCATTAGCCATTTCGTACGTAGACAGTTCCTCTGTGCACGAAGATACACTCTTCACCACGAATACTTCACGTGGAATAAACCCATTCAACCTTCGTTCAGTACAGGGAAACTTTGAGCTGAAGGAATCTTAAAGGCTACCTAACAAAAATCGGCCCGGATGCTGTATCAAGATGTCTCGGTTCACGACGGAGCATAACACCACTGGTAATCTTCGCAGATCTTTTCTCGTAGGGAAGTATAGCTTTGTCAAACGACGAAGTAAACAATAAAAGAACAAATAAATGTCTGCAGAAGAAAACATGTACGAGGGTTGAACTCGCTAGCTAAATCAATTTGATCTGTTCGCGAATTTTAACCTTTAACAGAAGCATCTGTGGACACTGTCGAGTGTACCGAGCACTCGAAAGTTGTGGTATTACTAAAAAAAAATCTTACTCCTAAGCGAAACTGCCGAGCGGTTGGTTGTTTTTACAGTCGCCGGATGAAATATTGCAATACCGTTAAGGCCATCAGATATCGCGCCTCGTAATGCTGTAGTGGTAACAACTTAAACTTACATAACACACTACGGGATATAAACTATCGAAACGTTTATTCAGATATCGCCCATCCGAGAGCCTTGTGGATCGAGATGATGATTGCTACCCCGATGAAGTGACATTAAAGCTTTGTCATCGGGGAATTCGGAATTGTGCCATGGCTAACATTGTAACCAGATCTCATGTTGACACTTAATTGCTCATAATCGTTTCAACAGAAAAAAAATCAACTATAGATTAAAACTATCTTTAGTGTCTGCTCATCACCATGTCGCACTCGAAACTTTTTGATTGGTGCCGCAGATCGTTTGGGTAAGGCCCGGCAAGTACCTGTTTTGGTGGTTACAGTAGCTGTGGCATTAGTAGTATCAAGGATTCAGACCTCAATGACTGCGTTTGATGATGACTAGTACGTACATTTTATGAGATTTTAGTTAGCAGCAACCATCAGATATCCGCAAAATGTGGGCAGGCATCGGATGTCGCACGAAAAATTAAGGACAACGGACCTTTTCTCTCATTTCTCATTATAGTTGGTACTTTGTCGACACATTAACACAAATTATGGTTATGCATCTTCTCGTTGTTTGCTGCTAAACACAGACACTACACAATCTGTTTATGATGTGCTTAATAAAGAACATTATTTAGGCTAAAGTAACAAAGGTTTTCGTGTCATTATAAATACACTAGCACATATATTTAACCAGCCTACCTGTGAAGAAGTTCGAAAAGTTCAGCCAAATTTTCCAGACAACTTAATAATATTTAGCTTTAATTATTCGAATTCACCTTCGGTACTATTGCTGTTGAGCGTTGTTTCAAATTGCTGATGGTGGTTCTTTCTAACGTCGTGAAACTAACAGCTCGTTTTCGCCCATCACCGTCTTGATATTGGTGGGAAGTTAATTTACAAATAGGTGAGACAAGCATCGTTTCCAAAGCTGTCGTAGTCTGTGCACTGGCCTCTGCGAATTGGAGTCAACGACAACTGAACTTTTTAAGGCTACGAAGACATGTACCGTGTTTTATGCCAAACGGGCAGAAATGCCGATTGGCCTAAAAGGCTTGGAAGGTACTAAACAAATCGTACCCGTAGTCTCTTCACCTCATTACGCCCTACATAGCAATAGCAAATACCTCAGTCTATATGGTGGTATCAAACAATAATCGCCTACCTCAGCCTGTTTAAGTTGTTCATCCACATCCAGGTCTAAACATATCAACTCACCCTAGCTAGCCCGCAGCCTTATGCTCCACAGGTGCTATATGATCGATTTGTTATGTGAGGATGTCTAGTTTATACATACATTTCGAAGATTTAGCAAGCCGGTTTTGTTGCCATAAGCCTTGCCTAACTTGTCATACAGATACATTGTCATAAAAACGTACGGTCTCTTTGCCGTCTACGTTCTCGTCGTTCTCAGACGCTGCGACAAACAGTGATCATCTGCATTTTAGCCGACTCGAAAAGCTTACTACAATGCATTACAAATGGACATATAATTGTCCGGATTTGCATTGCTATCTATATTCAAATGTTTACAAACCTGTACGATTCGCGCAATAGAAAATCTGATGCCGCATTTAAGATCTGCTTAAGCCGGTCTGGGCTACATTTGATTCCCAGATGCAGTGCCTTTGATTCGATTGTTGGCTCTCATCCGCAACTATTAAATCTACACCAATTTGAATAGTATAAAATATATCATTTATATTTAGACAAAGGTTAACCACTTTTACACGGTTACACGGTTCTCGAGCGTCTGCAACAATGATGTGAAGCTGAACCCGGATGAGGTCCGGTAGCCAATAGCGGTAACCAGCAGTCGGTCGTATAGCCGCATTTGTTCTATGCTTTTTAACAGTCGCACAGTAGAGATATCGTTGTTTCAGTAAAAGGAAAATCCGTCTTTTCTACATTAGCGCTTGCCGTGTCCACGGCGTATTCCTGTTTAGGACCAAGCGAAATAGCGAAACGACTGAAGACATCCCCAGATAATTTTTTTTGGTTTTGTTAGTGCTTAGTGTATGTAAGGATTTCTTTGACTACTGGGATAAAGCCCCTGGATCGACTGGAAGAATTCTTTGTACTAGTGTAGTGTAACGTCCAGATTATACCGCAGAGGTGCGCAAACGTAAGAATATTTATCAAAAAATGAATTTATTGAAAAATTCAAATTACGCAGTAAAATAATGTTTTAGTGGTCAGCTCAGTGCACGTTGCCGGTACAGGCTGGTCAGGATGGTCAGAATTTCGAGTGACGAAAGCTGCCTTCTAGATCTATAAAACTGTATTGTAGAAAACCAGACCTCAAAAATGAACATACTTCAAGGCAGTGCATAATTCGCGCTGGCTATACACGTATATCAGCTACTTGCGGCAACAAACATGCACTCTTCCACCACTTTTGGTGTAAACAGTTTCTTCTGGAGCAACAGCGCGTCGTCTTTAGAAGCTCAGTGAAGAGCAGTTATGACATAATCTTTCCGCGCTGAGCGAATTTCCAGTAAAAGAGTTTTTGCCTGAAATCAACGTTCTGTGGTATTTCCAACCAGGTAAACAGACGTTAATGAGGCACATCAAAAGATCCTCAGTCGGGTTTCGATTTTGGGACTTGAACCAAAATAACTCAAAAAGCCATTTTTTGTACACTTAGTTTTTTTTTTACACAAAAATTAATAGCAGTTTTAGAAAGGAGAATATTAATTGGCAATTGCGTCGACCAAATCTCCAAGTTCTGAACTTAACGACAGTTTTGAGCTCTAGGATTTTGCGAATTTTTGGCCTGCTATTAATGAGCCATTGTTTAAGCATCATTGATATTTTGTACGTAACGTATTTGAGCGACACTTAAGCGAGCGTACGCACAGAAGGACTACTTTCAAACGTAAATGGTTTAAATCTTGAACTAAAGCTGTGGTCGATTCGCTGCTGGAACAAAACATGGCCGCTAGCATTGATAATTGTATCACATGCAAATAGTCTGCAAGTAGAGTTAAGCGTACAACAATATCGTAGTATTGCTTAAAAATAGATAGCCGCCGCCATCATGCAATAAGAGCCATTGGTACGACCGCATTACACGCTCACTGTACAAGGCACACTTTTACGATGGCTAACTTGCTGAACGATACAGGTATATAATCGAAATGCTTTGTAAACAACTTTGAACGCTGTCGAATAAAACCTCTTTATAACGAATCTTTTGAGGAAAAGTTGAAATCACAGAACGACGCATACATAATAATAAAGTTGCAGATGTACCTCTTTATTCCTTTTATTCCGCTATCTTAAGAATGAAAGCCAACTACATCAGTGTTCTAATTATATGCATAGTTTCGCAGATGCGAGCGTATCGCGGTACAAGTTAGGTAAAGCTGGTGTTGTAGCATTTCTGCTTCAGTGACTCTGACTTTGACATTACGTGCCATACGTTACGTTGGCAAACACGTCACGACCATTGTTGTTTAGAGTGGGTGCTAAATTCGATCATGTGAAAAAGTCGCAGTGTCTTAAATGATCGATAACGTTCTCGTTTATTACCGTTCGCCTCGTATGTGCTTAGCCGAGAACCAGCGGTTTGCCAGCGTTGCCAGACGCTCTCATCATATTATAGCCAAACGATTTTTCCAACTGCATTTTTATTCCGTTCAGTTCGACTATCGTTATATTGGACAGAAACGCGTCAGAGAATTCTAGTCTTCAACACAGAGGCAGGCACATGCCCGTTTTGACAAGGTTTATCGTCGGAAGACTTGCTTTGGCATTCGACTTGGAATCTGCAGCTCGTATAGCTAGAGGCCCATTTGCGAGTCCAACGTGTTATCCGATTTGTCTAGCTTCTAGGAGCGTTGTTTTGTCTTTTATAGAAAAATAAATACATTCCGAAAACACCACGACTAGTTGCAATATTTAGAAGTGTTCTTGTCGGATATACCAGATTCGTTGTCGAATGCTGAAACGAAATCTAATTGTCCTTGGGAGCTTTATTTGGCGTGATCTTCTGCCCGTATCAATTGGTTCAATCAGAGATTTTTGTTTTCATAGACGCTTCAACCCATACTAACACGAACTTTCTAGTAAACATACGTGCTTCGCCGACAGATACACATAGCCTATAACGGGTAACGCTGACATTATAACAAACGTAATGACTGTATTTGTACTTCCGTTCGTTGTCTCTGTTCAGTTGCCTAAGATACGGCTGTAATCAGTAGGTCTCCTTTTGAGCAAGGACTATATGTCGTTACGAAGAAAGTACCCGTCTAAAACAGGTGATATTACGTTTTCAGGCTTTCAATGCATGTTACTTCAATCAGACCATTACGCGTTATCAGCCGATTACCAGAAACGTATCGAATTTAGATTAGACAAGGATAGCACGGCCTTGCCTACACATCCGCAGAAAAAATACGCATGATTAAAACTGTTTACTCTTACTGAACTTAGTGGTTCAAGTAAGAGCTAAATTTAGAAATTTAAAACGAATGTCGAATGCATAACAAAAGACACCGTGGTTAATTTCTTCGGTAAACGCATTGCTGGTGTTGTATTAGTTCTTATCATGAATTGATTTGCGATCTAAAAGAAAAGATTTAAGTTTATATATATATATATATATATATATATATATATATATATATATATATATATATTGTTTGACGGTTTTAAAAGACATGCGAACCAACCAAATGTACTGTTATTTTTCGTATTTCCATTTTACGGCCAGTTATTATCTTTAGGAACAACGTTCCTCTTTTTCGAAATTAACCCATAAGCGGAGTTACTTCCTTCTTTATGGTTTGCGCATATACTGCAGAAGAACGCGTCATTCACTATAAAAGTTCATGGACACGAACAGAATTTCCGTAATCCCCAGATGCGTTCTGGTGTTCATTCGTTTTTCATCGAACACGTCACACAGCCTGACGTTGACAACTAAACCATCCCAGTTAATCATCTACTTCTGTCAAAGGTAAAGTGTGTTACAAGCGTTGATGCGACTTCCTGATTTCGAAAACAAAAATCATCTAGATCGCAACTACGACGTTGTTTTTTGGATTTCACTTATAAGGAGTTCGCTTTCGTTATGTACGATTTCTATGTATAGGAAGGCGATAACTGATATATTTGTAGTCTAAAAACTTAACAAAACATAGCATTATTTGCTCGGGATAGAGAAAAATGTTACTACTATTTATTGACTCATCTTTACAAGAGACAAGATCTGCCCACGTCACACTACACAAGTTTCGTGTGTGAAAGAGCTTTCATGTTTCATGATAGGAGCTATATTCAGGTGTACGTAGCCTAAGTAAACAGTATTTTAAGTACAGCGGATACTTATGTATATGAGTAGCCAGACACGCTCGTATAAATTAAATTATTATTTTCATTACAAACATTGTTTAAGTCTACCAAACTTATATCTGAAGTATCCAGGATAGGTAATATATGTGAACAAAAAAAAAACATCTTTGGGACGCGATACTCACTTATGGGTCAGTTTTTCTTCTGTCTGACTTGAGTTTAACCCCCCCCCAGTAATTTGTCCGTCTCACACCCCAGCAGTGAAGCCAGCTCACTGACACACGTCACCTGCGCACAGGGTTGAAGAAGTCCACGGCGTTGCGTTGAACCACAAGCTCTATTGTCGCTCTAGAAGTATCAGCACCCAAACCGCCCCGATATTCCTACACGAATTTTTCGTACATGAATATCTGACCGTATTTAATTGTAGGTCGTCCTTAGCGCGAGTAACTCTCCTCGTCTGAGAACTTTTTTTTACTTTTTGTGGTGTAAACAGCAAAATTCGTTCAGTTCACCGGCTAACAGAGCTACCGATATTATTCATTCACTGCACAAACACTTGCATATGTGACGGTATGTTATCTCTCGCTGCACGCACGAAGCTCTATCGCCCCGTGTCTTTGCTCCGGCTCAGCTCAGATCCGCCGTAGCTTCGGAGTAGTTCGGAATTGGGTCAGACACAGTCGAACAAACCGCCACGGCAGTTAGCGATGATCTGGCAGTGTACCTGGTTGCTCCTCCTGTGCAAAAGTTTTTAACACAAAAGTGCCTGTTAATTCTTTGACTAAAGAAAGCGGACACAGTTAGGCAGTGATTTCGCCCGCTCTTCACGAAGTGTTCCGTTCCGAAGTCAGCAGAAATGGAGAGAAAGAAGGAAACTCCAGCCATCACAGTCGCCGCGACCTCACCGCGCTGATGATGAATCGCGACGGAGATGTGGCAAGGAGGCTTCAATGAAGAGTGCAGCGATCCACCACAGCGACACTGTCGAAGGCGCCGTCTGGCGGAAAGCACCAAAGCCATCAACAAAGCAACGGTTTCTACAATGATGAGACGCTCATAATTTTATCAAAAAAAAAATAGAGGGAAGAAGCCACCTTCAACCTAGTTTTCTTTCAGGTTGGTGCAGAAAGGGATGGTAAAATGAGTTGCTCGTTGTTACTTTGACTTTAATGATTTCGATGTGTGCAAACAGACTGGTTACATGGAGAAGATTTACTGCAAATAGAAAATGGTTCGTTTTGAATTGCTATTGGATGATCACAGCGTAGACGGGAAAGAAAAGGGAGCCATATGTTCGCTGTGTGGATTTAAGCTGTCGTTCAATACAATGCAATGTTATTATTTATGTAAATCGCAAGGGTAAACATTTCGCAAACGAGTGTACACCATCAGTGGTTTGAGTATACCTGAATAAGGACAGGGGCATTAACAGTTGGATTCCTATTTGTATATTGTCATAATATAGAGGGGGATCATACCCAGAAGAGTAAGCTGTATGTAAGTTTATATAATCTGAAGGTCCTATTATTCCAATAGACGAAGCTTCGTTCTGAAATCGTTAATTAGCCACTTGATCTCACTTTTTTTTACCTTTCTCATCTCTTTTTTTTTAATTTTCTTTTCCTGACCTTTCTAATCCTAAAAATAAAAAATATTCATCTATATATCTATAGTGGGTCAACCGAATTTTATTCTTTTGTTTAATTAGCATTGTAAACTTGCAATGCTTGTCTTGAAATGTTAAGTCTGACATTTCTAACCTACCACAATTAAAGTACATAGCTCTAAAAGCTAGTATTGCAAAGTTGTCAACTGCGCACAGTTGCTCTTCGATTCTGTTTACAATTGTTTTTTTTTTCTTTTTTGTTAAGTTTCTAATCGTTTTCAAATGCTTTGAGGCATTTTAGCTGACCCCGAACACTTATAACTTAGTTCCGGTGAGAGCGAAAAAATCTTACTACGTAATTCCGCTATGTCAATGCGGCGCAAAGCTAAGTATTCCCTAAGTAGAGAGAAGTTTCAACGAAATATATCTTTTTTATTCGTAACGAAAAAAATGAATACGGAAGTCACTATACAACAATGCCTAGCTCGTTTTTACCGAATCAAAACTACCCTTCATTTTAGACGCCTTAGAATATTCTTTTTTTGCATGTCGTACATAAACAACTATTTTCACTGGTAATAGTAAAATTGATGGATTTGTATGCGCGAATACCTTGAAGTAGTAAGTGTTCGCTTTCTGAGGTGATTATCGTACAGAACCAGAATTTACCCGCTCAACAAGCATGATTTTTACTTTCTCGTTTTTGCTTTTCAATCCGTTGTCCTTTTGCCCAAAGTGATCGGGCGCCACCAAAAGCAAGAATAAGAATATATTTTATTAGAATATCTTTTTCTTTACTGATAGGCTTTGTTAAGTAGGACTTCCACTCTAGACATTTCTGAGTTACGGATTATATTCAATAGATAGGTTCACTAGACGTTGATGACATAATGTTTTTTCTTTAATGTCATGCGCATATTGAACTATAGATGAAACTCATAGCAGTGACTCCGATCATATTCGTCGAACTCAATTATACAACATGTTAATTGAATGTACCTAATTGAAATAACAGGCTTACTCATCGTCACTTGCCGTAGCTCTTCCTTATGCCGAAACAAGGAAACGTCACGCTCGGTCACCACACGACAAACACGTATATAGGAATTTGTTATTATAGCGCAGATAATTTTCAGTAGACTATGCTGACTCCAACCGTGTAAAACGTCCGACAATCAAACGATGCTAATGTTTACACAGCGAAAACAGTGAACAGCGTCTTTGAACAGAGTACTGTCAACTTAGTACCTAAGTTCGTCTCAAGCCATAAATAGAGCCATGCTCTGACCAACGCTACGTCCATTGGCTATATTTATGTCTTAGTGTGTGTGTGCGGTATTGCGTACGCTCGTGCCACCCCGAAATCTCTATTTAAACTGCTTCGAAGTGCCGCTTCTTATGCATTTCCAGGTCAGGTTTACAGACGATTAATGGGTTAGTGATTTTCCCATTGTTGTAAGTTACAGATCCTCCGGTAAAGATCGGCATCGGTGTGCTATTGAGTATTATTCAACCTGGTCTCTTGCCTTTCCCTGAAATTCCTTGCATTCAATAAAAATCTATCAGAAAAATTAATATAGTATGCTATTAAGTAGAAGCTATTGACACTCAAAAGATGCAGTAAGCTATGACGGTAGAAACTTTCCGTCAGATAGCCTCGGGTTTTAACCCGGTGGAGCACATGCAAACTGATGCGGTCTGACACTTGAATTTAATTAATTTATAAATTAGATTATTATATACCTTTCTTTATCGTCGGCTGAAACCAATATGCCAACCTAATCGCTTCGAATCTTCTGCGAATAAAAGATCAGAAATGTAATATACACCGACAGCGTATCGTAGGGCATAGGTTGAAAGAAGTCCCTGCTTTAAGTATCGCTGGTGTATCACTAAACATAAACATTACAACATACGTGTGAATAAACGAAGTTCTTTTAATTGTTTATTTTCACCTACTGAGTTTTCACTTCGTTTGCATAAAAATAACATACTGTGCCTAGCTTTAGGTTTGAGTTGAGTTATGGTTGAGTGCATCTATCAACTAAAAGGTTCTGCTACATTGAAATATTGCATCAGGTTTGTCATCTATCATCAATCAAATATAGTAGCAATAATAGAAGCTTTTGCATGTCTATAACTTTTGACCATCTTATCTTGTAACTTGAATTAACAACAATCATACCGAACGATAATAATGATCAATATTTTTTTGATATTGAATACCTATCCTTCTGGCGAAATAAGAGCGTTACACAAAAATCTCTGGATAAAAAATGAGGACTGTCGAACGAATGTCAAGGGAACATCTGTCCCAAGTTTTTTTTACAGGTTACTTTTTTATAATAACATTTACGCCCCTTTTGGGTCAGAAATTGGGTGAAGAAACTATTCAAATCTAGACTGTATTTTCGTAGAAGCCGCTCCCGTGGCTTGTAGTGCAGTGGCAATACGTCTGCCTATTAAATCTGGGGACACATGAGGGGTAATTCGGAGTTGAAACCGGCTGCTAACATACTCCGTTTCGTGCTACAGGGAGAGCCCTTTAAATTATAAATGTCCAACTAACGCGTAAAACCGAACGTAGAGTTCAAAACAATTATTTTGCATGAGTAGCCCATTGATAGAGGCACTTTAATGTACAAGCAATTGCATATTAGCTCAAGTTGTATAAACTCAGCTAGACGCATACAATTCAACGACGCTTAGTATATTAACGGTCCAATACTCACAAAGTGGGAACGTGCAAAGGCGAATAAATAGAATTTGATAGATTGCATTATTAAATTATACGTTTCTTTATTTAATAATAGATGTTATGCATTACGTATCATTAATGGTATTCGAATCAACGGCCCCAGGCCTTTCGTAGCCAGAGGATGAGTCGTTCAAGTTACTGCTTCGACACCGACATATTATACAGTTGAATTTCATATTGTTGTTAACATAATTAATCTACGGGTATTACTCTTTTCATGTGTACTATACATAAGTATATGTCTGGAACCGTTACCATTCATTTACAGCCTGTACAACAGTAACTAGACTATTTTAACTAAACCGTTTGCATACAAAATGATTTCGACTGATTTCTTCGCCCTTTTATTTGAGAAGAAAGGTTCTTCAGTTAGAGAATACGAGCGGCTCCGGTTGTTGCCCTGAGCCAGGCTCCTTGCCTGTGCAAACGGCGTAAGCGCGGTTACTCTGTCGTCAGTGGTTGTTCTGCTCTCCTGTAGAATCGTAGTGAGAACGTTGAACACATCCGTTAGAACATCCACCTCGGCCAGCGTGAACACAGCCTTGCTTCTGAGCGGAGACTGGCTTAAAGTCGACGAACATCGTGTGCGGGTCGTGCAGTGTGACTTGAGCTCTCTCGACGTCGGGATCCTGCGCGCCGTTTTTGTAGAGCGTTTTTTCCGGAACACACGCTACTTTGTTGAGAGAGCGTGTATGTCGTCCAGGTAGCTGTTCAGTACCCTAGTCAGAATGCCGAAAAGCAAATTACGACATGCGTTTTTCTTCGCTATTTCCCGCTATAACGATAACCGGTTGGATAGCGCTTTCCTTTAGAGATTACTAACAGAGTAGCATCTTTTTACTGAATTGGAATTTTACCAGTATGAAGCGGTGCTATCTAGCACGTTGCCAGAACGACAGTGCATTTTAGATCCTCGTTGCAGACCCTATCTGGACCAACAGCTTTTTTTCTTCTATAGGCTCACAACACTCTGCATATGTTCCATCACTATAAAGGCTCTTCGAAGGACATCGCGTTGTATTATCCTACTCGGATATACATTCGAGAGCTTACTAAATGAATAAAACAACCTAAAAATTGACCCAAACAGGCAAATGGTAGTATTACGCACCAAATGTTTATTTAGCTTCAACTATGCAAGTTCATTCAAACGGCATTAGGTTATACATTCCGCTAGCCTGTAAATTTTATAACATATATTCCATAGTAATAATAATTATTTTGGTTGTGGTGATGGAGACCATTATGATGCATGCTTGCACGTGAAGAATAAACTAACACACTGACTTCACTAAAAGCGTTTACTTTACAATTCAGTTATCACAAAAGTTTGTTTTTAGTTAAGAGTCTCGCAACCTTTCAATGACAATACACTAAACTGAGCCGTTCGTAACATTCACATGTCTTAAGCAAGGCACTCGAATATCGACAAATTAATTCTATGGATGATATCGAATTTTTTTTATGGGGCAGCGTTTGTCACGGGATTCGTGCAGCGTTTAGGTTCTGAACACCTGAAGGATTCATGAATTCAGTCCAGGCACATAGCGCCCGCGTGCATTTAGTTAGCCAATTATATTAGTAAGAATGAGGCGGGCCGATTTCACTTATTTGTTGAGCTCTTTTCCTCTCGGCGTCGTTTAACGGCGTAACTGGACTCGACGATTGACTCATCTTCTTCGGCAATAGGTGGGTAAACACGAATTTACTAGAAGGACTGTACTGAACACCATCGAAAAGCGTGTTTTTTCACATTTTTATTCAATCAGCTGTTTAGGGTATGTCAGCGTCCCGCTGAAAAAAATAACGAGAAGATTTTAAAAGCGCTTCAATATACAAATAAGTACCTGCATTCATAATGAAACTCCCTCATTCGAAGCTGTGGTTAGCTAAGCACATGGTAGCACCGCCCTCGTGACGGCGTAGCAGAAACCTGTTTGCCTACTAAACGTAAAGATGCACGAGGTGGTTTAGAGCGAAACCGGGCGTGAGTCTATTTTGTTTCGTGACAGAAGGAACGATCCGTTTAATGCAAGGCTTAGCTAAGGCAGTAGGGGCATAAAACTAGAAACATTTAATTGAATCTGACCTGGTTGTATGGGGCCTCTAACACTATTACGTAATTATTACGTCTGAACTGAATAATGAATAAGCGCGTTGTCTATCAATTTTTCTGCCATTTCTACCAGCAGGGGTTAAATGTTTATCCAACGGCTAAAAACTTACCAACTCAATGATCGTCGTGTCACGAGTTGCTAGAGTTTACATATTGAGACCGTTGCGAGAAAAGGGTCTTTTAAACCTATTTCCTAATGAATTATCTATTTCATTATTTACTTTCATTAAACTTTGTTAAATCGCAAATCGCTTCAAGCGGTTCACAGTTGATAGTTTTCCTGAAAAAAGCGCTTTTTTCTAACTTATTTTGAGTTAAATTAACCCTTTCCTAACTTAACTTAACCTAACCTAACCTAACCTAACCTAACCTAACCTAACCTAACCTAACCTAACTTAACCTAACCTAACTTAACCTAACCTAACCTAACTTAACCTAACCTAACTTAACCTAACCTAACCAGTTGATAGTTTTCCTGAAAAAAGCGCTTTTTTTCTAACTTATTATGAGTTAAATTAACTCTTTCCTCAATGAGTAGTTCTATAGATCACATGACCATATCTTTAAATTATTTTGACAAAAGAACGGCTAGAGATTAATGGCGTGTACACTTTATAAATGTTGTTTTAAAAGCGTTTCTCGGTACCACCATAGCAACACCTAAAAGACTCTTCCGTATAGTATCTTAGAAAAAAAGATGGACACGCCTTATCAATGTTTGCATTGAGAGCTGAAATGGGTCCAAACAGACTAAGAGTCTTGCTTTTGCGACGTTGTTCTTCAGAAAAAGACAAAGTAGACGCATATAACTCAAATGGAAAGAAAGCGGGAACACTTTAGTAACTTTTTCGTAATTACATCAACAGATAGTTTTTTGAAACCGACCGATTACCCTAAAATGTGTTACTAATTGGAACGATCATGTTTCCTGGGCAAAAGTAGGAACCGAGTTTGAACAATGACCTGACATAGAGCCTCAAACATTAGCAGTTAAGTTGGGAGGGCGGTTTCAGCATTAAAAAAAATCGATTTTTTCTTTTTTCTTATTTATATATCTTTCGAAAACGCTCTTTTTTCTCATATCAACTTGCTGTTGCGATATTGTGTTGCGAGAGCAATTTTGACCTGAAAGATACCTTCAAACATACATGTTCCATGTGAAAAATATGCGTCTTCGACACCTTTTAACACAAAACATCGGCGAAAACCTGAATCGTTTTTTGTGTGCGGTAACGATGATATCGTGAAAAAAACTGTTTAAGAGTGTTTTTTTAGGTTTGAAAACAGTGTCCAGGACCTAAAGGATGCAGCTGCTATGGTCGATCGTTCGAGTTTAATAGCCACGATCTGAAGGCACTTTTGAAGGAAGACACCCGACAAACAACAGTTGGCCGAAAAAATAAGCTGTAGCCACATGACCGTCGTTAGCCGCCTTAAATTCTTTTTATACAGGATTTATGCAGAAGCTTGATGTTTAGATATCTTTTGAACCTTCTCAGTCTGACAAGAAATTACAAGTCAACGTTGTAGCTTAACACCTCGTTTAGTGTCAAGCGTCACACAACCGTAAAAGCCAATTATCGCACATAATCGTTACCGATAATGAGAGGTAGTGTTTGTACATAATCATGAATCAGAGATTGGAGTGGATGATTCCAGAAACGAAAGCATGGTTTTACGCTCCGACCAGATCTTCATTAAAAAGAAAATGCTCTGCGTCTTTTAAAACTCCCTCCCTACCTAACTCTTTAAGAACTGTTTCTTACGAATTGAACAATTGATCCCAACGTGTACTATGCTTAATTACCAGACTAAGAGAAAAAAACAACAAATGAGGTCAGGTATTTGGCACTTTCGACACAGATCGACAACCCGCCTAATTTGAAAACTTCACCAATACGAAACCTTCTGGCGAAATTGCATAGTTCATGCAGTAGAATGATGGGGAAACATCATACAGAATGACGGGATATCCACTGTCACAGAAATAAAAACATGTGTTCTTTTCAATAGAAAATCGTGAGACAATACCAGCTGAAAACATTTTTAAAATTACTTATACACGTCGAAGCGGAGATGTTACGTCATAAAATGACATGCTTTTTACAACTGTATTACGCGTAAGAATGAACGCAGAACATGGCCATAGTTCAAAAAAAGCTAATCATGTCAGGTTGGCTTTCGAGTAGACAGACATCGTATTTCTAATAACGATATATTATTAGTGTTAGAAACTTTGGGTGTAATTTTGCTTCATGCATTCGGAGTTCACCGGCGCTAAGACTATGACACAAACCTAGAAATAGGTACAGATTTCTTTTTTTTTTTAAGATTTCTCTGAGCCTGCTGCATTATACTATTCGATGCACTGCATTAACTATAATTCCAGAAAAAGCAAAATCTCATTGATCTAAGAAACTGCCTTTCTTTGTTAACATACGATGATGCTATCATCGTATGTTAAAAAAGTACGATGATTTCATGAAAGTAAAAGCACGCAGGTTGACTTTTAGTAACGCAGGTCATTTAATTCAATTTTAAATGATATTAATAGTCCTGATAGAGAATAATTGTAATATTTTCAAAAGTTTAATAACATGTTACTAAATTAATACACGCTCGTCGTGTTAATGTTTGCCCAGAAGTCATATTTTATACGTTTACCCGCACTGCTTAAGATAGTCACGTCCAACTAATTACCTATCCACATGCATAACTCAGTAAAACAACCAGTTAATCTGCTCATTATTGTTTCAAAGAAAAATCACTTCCACACTCCAACTCCTTCTGCTAATCCAGATTATCTTGAGATTTCCAGAAGACCCCATTGAATGTGTATGGCAAGGGAAATACACTGAAATAACAACACCATACATTTCTCCCTATATATACCTACTCTCACTGAACACATGCTACAGTATGTGTCCACCGTGCTCAACAAATTAATATATGGAGCAATTCGGTGCCCTAATTGAACAGTTTAGCTAAGCACAAGGCACAGGAAGATGAACAAAAGAGTTGTGGAGCGAGCTCTCCTGAATTCATACAAATTTTCTCCCATTCATAGCGTAATTTTGACAGGAAAAATCCACTGATACTTAGAAGCGGTTGCATACAACAACCGGCTTAAATACGAGCGTGAACCTGTGCCTAGGCCGCAGTGGGTTTATGGTTCTTATGCATTTGCGGTTCGATATTATACACAAGGAAAAGTAGTTTGTCTATGATATTTTCCTTGTTCTTCGCAACAAGCTGGTTGACCTCAAGGATCTGACGTTGAGTATCTGCTTCAATGCGCTTCTGGACGTCGTCCCGAGATCCCATGTGCGAGGCTTCGTACGCCTAGAGAGAGTCACAATTTATGAAGCGAACAAACACGCAGAAGTTGAATGTGGCATATATATATATATATATATTTAATGGAAAACCTAGGAACCGTCGCTTGAGAGGCTAACGTCATTGTGACGCCTTTTAGGGGCACTTAATCCAAAAGTTCCTATCGCTTTGTTTACCTACCTTAAATTCCTTATCCTTTTTGGAGCGGAATTTCTCAATATCACTCTGAGCCTCATCCTTAGCTTGTTTCAAACGATGTGCTTTACGCTTACGCGCCTCCGTAACCTGAAATGAAGAAGGACTTGTTAGAAATTTAGAGAGTGAGAAATAGAGACACCTATATATATATATATATATATATAGAGAGAGAGAGAGAGAGAGAGGGAGGGAGAGAGAGGGGAGAAAGGAAGCGAAAAACGTAATCATAGATGGAAAAGCAGAAAGCAACAGGAAGGAGAAGCAACTATTATATTTAAATTTTATGAATGTAGCAAATAAAGGATGCGTGCAAGTCAGGCGGTGTCAACCCAACAAATGCATATAATTTTTTTGCTAATTCAAGTGGACGTTTGATTCGTTCAAACCAATAGATTGACCGTACGACCACCGGTAAAAACTCTTGACCATTTTTTGAGTAGATAATTCCTAGCCTAAATATATATAGCAAACAAGATGCAATGAGAATAAAAAGCATGGCGTAAGCTGTCTCGAATCAACTCAAACAAGCGTTAATGAATACCAAATATTTCCGTTATGAACTAACGGATGCATGTTCATTCGCCAGAGACTACCAAGAACTTTGGTATTAGCCACCACTAAAATATATAGTACCATTACAATACACCTTTAGTAATCCTTCGTAGCGTATGTGGATCCCATACGATGTGCGCCTTTACGCTTCTCGAATATATATCACTTAGGAAACTTACTTTAGTCATCCGGCACTTTTTGCAGTTGTCCAGCGGACTGATATTTTCAGCAAAATAGACACAATCCGTTACTTTCTATTTGATCCGTAGCAAATCTACTTGCCTTATCAGATGCACGTCGCTCGGCTGCGAGCAACTGCTGAACTCCCTGTGACTGCTGGTTCATTATGTCACTTCAGTTTCCGTATGGTGGACACGATCGTTTCAGAAGTACTCGAGTAGACCTTCTCTTCACGGGTACGTCAAGCACCAAGTTCACGATGGTAACTGACCACACTTACGAACACACGGAGTCTACTAGAATTGACCAATCAACCTTACGCGCAGTGGGCAATACCACCTCTGGATCACGGGACTCTGTTCTAATGGTCAGCTGACCAGTGACAGAAAGGCCGCCGAAACGGCGAAGGGGCTGCTCACATTTCTGCCGGAAAAAAGAAACAAACCGGCTATTTTTTGTTAGAAGCCGAATCAATGCCTCGTGAATGACTCATTTTGATTGACGTCTACGAGAGGAGTTTCCTCGTTATTTTGTATTGAGATTTGAAGTCGGGTTTCAAAGCATGATCGCCGGGTGTTTGAAAAACGAAACCAGCTAATTGGCGCCAAACTCAAAACTTTCCAGCCCTCGTTCGATCGACAGGTGGACGGTTGATTGACACGATAAAAACAGATCTCGGGAACATTGTCGAAACTGCTGTGTGAAATCTGATTTCTGGAACAATGTCTAATGTGAAACGTAACCAAAACAATTCGGAAATTGATGACACTGACATCGTGGTACTTTCGTCCGACGATGAAGCTTCTGTACGACCTTCCCCGTCTGATGAGTACGTTGTCTCACTGACTGACCTCTATTCGTAGAAAATAACCAGCCAGACTCGGCCTGTATGCGACGGAGTTCACAGATATGCTTGTGTGGAAAAAATTTACAGGGTAACCGAAAATGATTGTTCCGCACTCGAGATTCGTACAGTGCAAAGTGAATATGGCCATAATAGAATTCTCACGCCGTTCATGTTGATCACAGTGATTAGCGTTAAGCAAAGCAGCTAACAACGCCTCCGTCTGCGACAAGACCGAGCGTATTTATATATATAAGAAAAAGCAAAATTTGTATATGCATGCAAACACATTATTAGTAGACAGTATTTATTATGCAGGAAGGTTTTTTGTTGGTGATGGTGCAGTTGAATAATGTACCCGTAAAAGAAATGCTGGTTCTCTGTGTATCAGTCATGCAGTTATTTACGTCTCCTAGCTAGAATAGTTAAAAGAAAATCAAGTTTCTTATGGGGCTTTGCAAGACAATTATACAATAATTGAACCATCAATACTAGTAATCCAATTAAAAGTGGCGGTCAGTTTTATAATTAGATATATAAAAGCTATGGACACATCCAATCAATATCCATGACAATAATATCTAATTTTGTCCACTAAAACGATGAGCTTATTAGATATCCAGCTTTTTCTTTTGCTTGAAACCTACAGGCACTAAAAGTCAATACAAAGTGGTGTAATAACATTGAAATCACTTTGTGACACTCCAATGCAAGCAACCGCTTCCACTTGTCTTCAGGCACTTGTCTTGCATAGGCAGATTCTTCGCTTGATATATTGACATTTAGCCTGGGCTCTATTTTCTATATGCGGAAATCAATAACTGCTAAGTAATGGTGTTGACGAACCGATTTCTTATATCTGCCCTGCACGGAACTAATGAAACATTTTATCAGCGAAGATATTCAGTATCGTTAAACGTGATCCGGGATGCTAAATCGTGATATATGATTATGAGGCATAATGCCAATTTGACATTAGAGAACGAACTCGGAATGTAGTTTAATATTTGACATGATGTAATATGGTAGGACTAGCGGAACACGATAAAGTGGGACACAATAGAATTCAGGAAAACGACTACACTACCATTATGGCTCGTCGGCAGAGATATTAACGGAAATTATATCAATTGTTGTTTTTAAACTTGTGGTAGAAACTATATTACGCTTTTTCGAAACGAGGTGTTTGCTAAAGTCGGCTAAGCGGCGCACGTTTAACTTTGATATCGTAGGTAATTCAACGCGAACTTCATCGGTAGTCCAATCATATGCTAAATCTTTAGTGTCATCAGAGATTTATTTCGTTGGCCGTGCCTGGGTGCTCTAAATTGTGTAAAACTAGAGTGCGCATGTATGTTGACACATGATTATTATTATTGTTGTTATTATGAAAGTCAAGCAGATTGAAAGTGATTTAAGAAGTGGACATTTATTCCAACTGAATATGAAGGCTACAAGCTGGTTATTTTGTTTTCATCGGCTACTTCTGTCAGGCCCAAAAGTCTGCTTAGATCTCCCCCTGTTCACCGAGAAACTCGCGTTAAGTATTGCAATTATTTTTAGCGAGCTAATCTGAACTATTTGTTCGTTTCAGAATATTCGAGTGTTTTTATCCGACTTGTTTTGTTTGGTTCAGACAGTCAAATTAAAAAAAAAAAGGCTTTTTTCCAACAGGCAAAGCATAAGCGTGGATAGTGATACAGAACTGCCCGGCGACTTTCCTCCGGTGGAAGTTTGTGCCGAACGTTGCCGAAAATTCGCTGAAGTAACAGATACAAACGAGGCTTTGGCGCAGTTTTACCTGCAGGATCGAAATTGGAATTTGGAAAGATCTATCCAGGAATACTACGAAGATCTTGCTGAACGAAATCGAGGCGAACCCCCGCCAAAAATCAAATCCGCAGGGTAACATATAGAATAGCTAATAGAAAGATAGTTTGCAAAATTGAATTTTATTTGTCCATACTGGTGTTTGGTGCGACGAAATATACGAAGACTATATGCTTATCCACCTAGTTTATTTCATCAACCGTCTTTATACCTGTTGTTGATTTATACTTGTTGATTTAGGAATTGTTTCATGAAATACATTTCGGAGTTTGGACACGATTGTGAGCTGACCTGCAGCTAACTCTCGTACCTGCGGCATTACTTTAAAAATTGATATTGACTGTCTATTTGCATATTTTCATACACCAAATGATCAAGTTGACAACGCAGAAGCAAAACACTATTAATTCGTCTATCTAGAAGGCAATCTTTTTTGTAGGGAAACCTCGACTGCAACTGGCAGTGAAGTCGTTAGACTGTCTAGTAGTGATGATGACGAATCGTATGAGCAGGCTGTAGACCAGAAAAACGAAGAACTTTCGGACGATCTCATGAAAGTCATTTCGTGGAACATCGACGGACTAGATCCAAAGAATGTTGAACTGCGCACAAACAACGTTTGTTCTATCATTAAAAGGTGCGCTTGCACAACTTAAGAACCTTAGATTTTGTCACCATTTGTTTTATATTGAATGGCTTACGTTGAATTTCGGCGGTCCGTTCGCTGCTTTTTTATTCGAATTTAGTTTAGTTTAGCCGAAGATTTACCGTGTACGCACTACGTGTTTATCTAAAAACTCGATATTTGTAGCTCTAACGATAAGAAATACCCCTTTGAAATGTCATTTTCTCGTACTAATGTAAAACGCAGTAAGTCATTTTGGTACAGACGTCATGTGATTTAATGTAAAGCCCCGTTTACTTTACCGACCGAAAACAAGAGAGACTTTGCAGCACTTTCCTAAACCTGGCATAAACTGGGATTAACTCCTCTGTGTCACCAAATATCGCATTTTACAGTCCGATATAGTAGGACTGTCTCGATGAATTTTCGCCACAGCTATACGCACATTTTCCGAAGCTGAATTCTGATGTTTTCCAAGAATAATATATATGGAACTTCTCTAGTTCTGTTGTTAATCCGACTGGAGAATATAATGTTCTCCGTAATGCTAAACATTGTCTAGAGCAAAAAGTACATTAATCTTCTTCCGAGATTATTCATTTAGTAGAGATTGTACAAACAACTTTATTGCTTTTAGTCAGGTCTAAGTCAAACTAGTTGCCTAGGTCTTAAACCTATTTCTAAAGACTATTGCACCTGCTTGTATATCTTTCCTCCGATCGAATGATTTAGGTTGGCTGCCATTCCAGTCTTTCTGAAAAACTATTGACTGGATAGGTTCTCGTTTCTCGTTATTTTTCGCAGGGCGCAAGCAGACATCGCCATGCTTCAGGAAGTTACACCCGTGACATTGAATCTGATTCAGCAAAACTTGGAATCAGATTACCACATTTTACATTCAGGCAATCTGTTTCTATAAATGCTATTATTTTTATTTATTTATTTTATAATTTTATTCGTATTATAATTAAGGTATTATAATATTATTCGATATTCAAATTGTGTTCAACAAAAGTGTGTGCATGATGATGATGATTATCTCTATGAATTCCGTTGGGTTTGTAATATATACTATAAAATGTAGTTTTTTTTTAGTGAAACGTTTTTGTAACCGTTCTGTGTTATTGTTGAGAAACGCAGGATGTCATAGCAGAGAAAACAGGAAACGGGATTTTTGCATTATCCATTGCGTTTCGTGTCCTCTTGAGGAAAACGTTGCCAATAGCCGATTAATAATGACTAATACCAGTCCTGATTCTTTCTAGTTTATATGATTCGCTTAGCAAGAGATGATCAAATTACATTTGATGCACGAAAACTCCGTCAATAATCATTACGTAGCAATATGAAGTTGCTTTTTCTAAAATTAGAATCATTTAGTTGATAGAAGTCGCATTTGGTCTTGTCTAGATCAAGGCCACCTTGCGTAAGGAGTGTGTATACAATTTGCCAATCTATATCTTGAAAGGCGTGTATGGTACAGACTTTTGTGATAATATTTGGTAAGAAAAATGTTCATGTTGTAGTTCATCGAAGCCAATATAAGAAGGTCGTATCAATTGTTGAATTCCATAGGTCTTAGTGACTACTTCACAGCCATTTTGGTTCACAAGAAGCGTATTAAGCTCGGTAATAGTCGCGTTTTTGAGTTCTCAAGTTCGTCGATGGGTCGAAAACTTCAAGTCGTTGAGGTAAGTCGAAACGGTGGTACAGTTTTTAGCTATAACTAAGTACTTTCTTTTTGTTGTCCTTTTTGTAAACATATTTTGAATTACATTACTGAGGATTCATCTGCTCGGAAATTTACAGTGCCAAAAACAATAAGAGGGTCATGGCACATCAGCATTGGCCACGGTTCTAGCTACGCAAGTACTTAATTAGAAATATTTAATTATCTTATGTACTTTTTGATGTTTTTTCTTTTACAAAAAATCTGTCGAGGTAGACACTGATCAAAATTAACTGGCCGAAGTGTGCCATATGCAACATTTCCTTTTACATCTGGATTACGACTTGTACATTTTAGGTTTCGTTTAAGAAACGCCACAGTCTGTTTATTTTAAATACTCATTTGGAGAGTACAGCAGAGTTTTCTGATGTGCGAAAAGAACAACTCCGAAAATGTTTCCGAAACATCAACAAGATCCCCACAGATACGGCTGTACTCTTTGCGGGAGACCTGAACCTGCGTGACAAAGAGGTTGGTGCATTCTCTTTAGTTTCGTTAGGGTTATTTTATTTTTCGCATATAGATTAAATATATCTCCTGCTTAATCACATCTGTATATGATAGTCTTTTATTATAGTGAATTTTACTTGTCTTATGCTGCATCTGATTAGCTGTCATTAAATATTAATCCTCGTACAGTACAAACAAGTAAGCTGCTCAAGATACACAAACCTGGTTTTTATTCAAACTTCTTCGTTCCAAATATCCACGTATAATATGCGCGATTATTAATATGACATTTATTTTTTTACTAACATAAATTTGAAGTTCAGCTGTTGCCACAAGCAATAGGTCGTTCACAACGATGTGCGCAACAATACCCAAAAAAATTAATTAACCTTCACATAATCAGTTAATTCAGGTTAGGTGGCTGATGATTTTTCAGGCACGAAGATAAAGAAACTAATCTGATCAGAAGGATCGTCATTAAGGCTTATGTAGTTTCTAATAATATGGACTAGATGGGTTTTTTTTTACTTTCATTCACATTAGCTGGATGAGATTGGCGGAATCCCGCCCGGAATCGTCGATGTTTGGGCTGAGCAGGGCTCGCGACCCGAAGCGCGGTACACGTGGGATATGACGCGAAATGATAACCTTTTGTGGAACGGGAGTTTTCGACCTAAGTAAGTAGACAAAGAAAGACTAATAAGAACAATAATAAGCGTAGCGATAATGCCACAGCAAATAATGTGTATGTATGTTCGAAACCGTAAGCTCTTTATTTCTATAATGACGACACGTTATTTATATTGAACTACTACTACAATATATTACTCTATATAAACTTATACATGTACGTGACAAAACTGTAAGAATGTGGTGATGAATAATGTATTACGTCAAAATTATGCTACATGGTAATTATATTGAGACTTGTCTGATATAATATTCTATTTATAAATTTTTGGAAAAATGTAATTGAGAATATAGCAAGGAATGAAAGTTAGTATGCAGGTCTCAGCATTTCCACAGATGGCCATGTCCCAATACACTAGAATTTCCTAACCCAATATTTGCCTACATATGCCGACATATCCTTCTTGATATTTTCTAGAGGTGACCAAATTTAACCCAAGTAATTTCGCTATTTGCCTGTGCGATCGTTTTGTGTGTCTATTAATTTTAAATCGTGCGTAGGTGTCGCTTTGATCGAATGTACTACAGGAAGTCCGCTAGCCAGGAGACTCAGCTTCGTCCAGCCTACTTTGGCCTTATAGGAATCGAGCGCCTGTTACCACATCGGTGTTTTCCCAGCGACCATTGGGGTCTCTACGCGCATTTCCGGTTGATCTAAGTAAACCGAATTCAACTTGATTCTAATAGGCCGAATACTTCGGCATTTTGGGAAATCAGTTGTCGACCGGGACACGAATCATTTGTCATTATACTGCCTAATGTATACATTTTATATCTCCTTATATAAATGTTAAAGGACTGAAGTTTTTGACCAGCTAAATATGTATGTTTAGAACCTACTTAAAACTGCTAAAGGTTCAGATGTTATCGTGCATCTTCGCTATAGCTGTATGGTTGTTTGCGTTCAGACGAATGATTCCTAGTTGCGAGACGAAGAGCCTATACAAGTCAGTCTGGCTGGACAGTCCTTCATCGTCTTTTATCAGGCTTGTATAGCCGGTACTAGCTACCTTTACAACAAATCAGTTGTTACCATGTTATAGAAGTCTTATAATCGTCGCTGCTGAAATTAATTGAAGAGGTCAAGAAGCTGAAAGGAAATCTAACTTAGCCTAGCATCATAGTTTGAATTGGTGCTTAGAGTTACGGGCATTTCCTGAGGATCTATTTGTAGACGTCTATCTTCTGCCTTAGATAAGTTGAACTAGAGTAAACAGACGTCAATGGATCTTTATTTCAACTTCAGTTAATTGTCAATAAAAGATTTGTCTACTATTCAGCTCATACAATTTTTGAAGGATACATTTTACAATGCAGTTGAATATTTCTGCATAAATAGTCAGGCTATTTGAAAGACTATAACTAAGGAATATAGATACTGCAGACCACATAGGGAAATCAATTCAGGATTTTATCATAGTCGAACCAGTTCAATGGTGTTGTAAAACAATGTGTCACTTATGCTCATTAGGCTTGCAATAGTTAGTGGTTTAAAAGTTTGTCTACTACGAAGATCACTTTCTTTGTAAAAAAAAAATTAAACATAATACCTGCACTTCTCAACTTTCCAAGTTTTTGTCAATCCATTTCATAATCACGTTTTAATATGGATTGAGTTTTGAACATTCAAAAACATCAGATCATCACTGTCAGGTCGTTTAATAGTCCTAAAAATTATTAGCATAAGTTTTTATATGTGAAGTTGAGTTGAAGTGGCATCATGGCTTCTAGATACCTAATTGTACTATGAACAGTTCCTGCGTCTTCATTATGTAGATAAGGGGAAGTTTAGATTTTAGAAAAGCACATTCTGGAACCGGAATGAGCACTTTGTCCTTGGCATCTTCAACACTTAAGCCGTCGGCATAAAATTTACATTAAACGCACTCAGAATTGAATATCCTAGTAAATATTAATCGGGAGGCCACAGGAAGATTGAAGATGATTACAGAGCACTTCTTCTCGTATCTGTTACAAAATGCGTGAACATTAAATCTCCTATTAGTTTTCCTTTGCGTCTATCACATCATTATATCGAATTTTTTCATTACGTTGGGAATACATTTCGACTTATATGCATGAGATGCAAAAAAATGCAATATATTTCACTTAAATGAGATAAATTGCATTTTTATAAATGTAAATAAAAATATTGAATTTAAATAAATGTGTCTACAAAATGTTAAATATGTTTATCAAAATATTTATATACAGAATAAATTATCACAATCTTGATAATTTTTAATAATATTTCATAATTATTCACAACTTTATATTCAGATTATTACTAAAACATTTTATTTACTTTGATAATTTATGGGGTTATTCTTGATAATGTTCTTAGTTGTATTTGCAAGCACACAAATGCTTTAAAAAAATGCTCCAGTTTTACAAAAATTACTCCAAAGTTTTTCCCTATTTTTGATCATTGACCGCTTTGATGTAGTTACAGCAACCTATATTACGAGAGCATACAATGCAGTCTGTGTAAAAAAGTTATTATTCATTTTGTGACATACAAAGTTATCTGCTTGGCTCTATATTAATTAGAAGTTGAATGAGGCGTCAATAGAAGCAATGCAGGGCTTGTTTCAACGATGATAGAAAATTGGTCTTTGAATAAAATTATAATAATGTGTATAAGTAAGTGAATATTGGATCGTCACTATTAGCCTTGTCTTCGAACTTAGAAATTTTTGTTGGATTTATTCGATATCCCTGTTATAAGCCTCGCTATATCCTCTCGCCGATTTCCTTCAGAATCTTTTGTGATTTTCAATTTTTCATTTGGTAAATGCGTTAATGGTTTTGTTTCAAACACCTCTTTAATAGACTTAATAGACGTAATGTAATTTCGATCTATCAGAGTGCAGTATATATTTAAGACCGCTGGACAGAAAGATCGACTCCGGAAAACTTTGGCTCTATTGTTCTTTCATGGTTAAGTGAATATATAACTTGGAACATGGGCACAACTTTTCAATATAGATTTCTTCTGATGACGCTTTTCTATATTATTTTAGCTTACACATGACCATTTAAATAATTCTGAGAAACTCATATTTACAAATGTAAAATGTTTGTGTGGACTAGTCATAAAATAGACGCGCTCCCCTGAATGGCAAAACAAGCACTAGTATTTCGTCGACGACACGGCGACGACGAAGAAGACCTCTTTAATAAAAGGCAGTCGGGGCGCCCTAAAGCCCAGGGAAGGCTTACCTTAATGACTTGATTATATATACAACAAGGATACGGATCCGACGGGGCATTCGGCCATCTCTTTATACGGTATAAGGTAGGCTAAAACTGGGCATTGTCACGCCCATGGTTTCCGCTGCCAAATAAGATGAGTCTTAAGGTTAGTCTGTGTTCATAAGTATTGTCCTTGCCTGTATCTATTTTAAGTTGTTATTTCTTGAATTGCATGACCCTTCTCTGCGCAGGTGCTTATAAAGGTCAGTAGAGTTCACATGTTGAAATGAATATTTTGATGTGCAATGACCATTTCATATCGTGCTGTTGGCATTTTAACATGAGCATTCGATTATAATAAATTCCCTGCGGTGCAGTCAACGAACCTGCAGCTTTTCATGTCGCTGCCATATCCAACACACCATACTCAACCTGGACATCAAGTTCCATCGTGACGCCTTTGCGCAATCTCCACAGGGACCTGTCCACGGTATGATCTACACACACATGCAGTTATAATAAATATCGACATTAATTAACCTACCCTTCAAGATCGAAGTAATGATACCGTCTCTGCCCCTCTGTCCAGGGTAAAGGAATAGTTCGGTGTATCGCCGAAAAAATAAACGGATCTACACCGAAGACTTGTTCTTTAAGCCAGGCTATAATATGTGAGAAGTATTTGGATTGCTGCTTCTGTTTGAAACAACGGCGCCATCTTGGACTCTCAACGTGAGAGAACACCATGATGTAACTGTTCCATACCCTTGGGAATAGCACGGTCAAGCAGAATAAGTGCATCCCGCCGCCAGTGAACGTTTTCCATTTCCGTATCGAAACTGACGTTGATGTAACTCAGCTATTTTTCCAGCTAAACGTCCCAAAGGATCAGAGCGCGACTACCCTCTCAACGCCTGACGGTAATCGCAGTCAATTGGCTCATTTGTGTTGTATTGTTCGACTGAAAATGTATTCTTTTTTAGGTCCGTAGCAATTTTTTCAGTACGTGTTTTTGTTTGTACAGAGTTAAGCACAATTAATTGAGTCTTCCGCGTATGAAACATTTATAAACGATATGGAGCTCTAAGCATGCAAATTCGTTTCTTAAGAGATTATTGAAATAGGTGATATCTCCAGTTTCAGTGAGGTGCAGTTAGAATATACCATATTAAATGTACAGTATGTGATATAAAGCTAACAAAATTTCATCAAAATTTAAATGCGCCTATTGAGTGGACACTGCCTATCGTTTTAAAGGACATTGATAAACCATTTACACGTTATTTAATTTTCTGGTTTCCCGGGAAACTAAGAAATCGGAACATCGCTATGCGAACGGATATACGGTATAGTAGAAGTAAAACTGCCTGCACTTTCATTGCATTCAGCATTCATGTAAAAATAACCAATAATAACTTTTCGCATCAAAATAGCCTTAATATTTCTTTAAAAAAATATTTGTCTTGTGTACTAGATCTAAAATAATACATTTGATATGTATAAAGTGCTTTCAGCTTTTTCGCCTCTAGTTTGATGTTTCTAGTTTCTGTACTGACGTATGATACCGTCATTGCCGGCGTATGATGAAATAACGTTTTTTCTTTTCTTTTAATGATAAAACATTTCACAACATGCATAGTAATTATTAGCTGAAAAGAGCTATAAAACGTTCACAAATTTAACTTGAACTGGTCTTTATATTTTACGTTTTGTATTTAAGTTTCATTTTAGTTGTTATAATATCAAACTGACAAACCAACAAAGTATTCATTATCGAGCAAACATAGGTTCTAATAATAAAAATATACGTTTTTCGTAGTATACAAATAGGTACAGGCTAACTCTATGGCAAGTGTTTTGTTTTGAGTTCACTGTTGTCATCAGTCCATTTCTATTAATATAGGTAGAGATAACAACACGTACGATTTCCATAACGTCGTAATAGAGATGCGGTATTTCTTCTCTTACAGTGCGTTGCCCGTTCAGCGAATACCAGATCGTTTCCATAGAAAAGTTTCAGATTCAAGAAAAAATTGCTTAATAATGTAATAAAGTTTTATATATATATATATATATATATATATATATAATATAACGAACTCGGTCAATGGGAAAGTCCTTTATGAGGTATAAGAGAATAATCGTAATACTAATTTTTAGAAAAAATCGGGGCTTGATCAAAATTTCTACGGCTTTAACTTATAGAAACTGTTCCCATAAATTTAGAAAATCTCATATCTTCCCAATTAGTAATCCGCTTGACTGAAGCAAAAATTCAGCTTAGATACCGCGCGTCTGAATCGGACTGTTCTGCTATAGGATTGCGCTTTTGTTACAGCGCTCGCGAGACTACGGGTTTCAATCCGCAGCAAGCTCGTTGATACGGGGCGTAGCTATCATTTATATGCACAATATCCTGAAAATATGTCTAAAAATGCTCTGTGAATGTGAGCTATCCAGGATTACAAACCACAGTAACATGAGCATCACCTTTCTGTAGTGGACTATCGCACGTATTCACAACATAAAGATGACGCTGAAAATGGAAATACTTAAGAAGCCGCTTCCTACCATTAATTATCTGCAACAGTTGTCAGTTATCTTAGCTAGCGGCAGATCAAATAGGATGCTGCCCAATCAAGTCGATCAAAACATTCTCTATATAGAAGTTAACGGCCAGTTTGAACATTATTAATTGCAAAGTGAATCGCCCAAATAAGGTCTAACGGCTAGTCTTTCCTTTAGGCCTCTTTGAGCCGTTGCATCTTTGCAATTTTTCGCCTGCTATCAAATCAAAATTCAATTCCATTCTAATTTCTTGTGTACAGCGACATAGTCTAGCGACACCTTAACGAGTTAAAAACACGCAACGTCACTGGGCGCTAAATATTTATTTGTTATTAAATTATTAAATTAAATTAAAGGATTAAAGAATATTTTCAAAACGACTACGTAATGGTAGTTCGAGTTGTGATTGCAGTGGATAGTGTTTATATCGAGTAAATAAGATTCTAAAGAATGACACTTTTAGCACATACAAATAACGTTGTCAAAATACCTTTTTTTTTTGTTTTTTTAGATATAATCTCAATAACAACTTTACATACAAACAGAGTTTACATACTCCACCTTATAATATAAAATATATACACAAGCTGCAAAGGTTGAGTGAAAGAGTTAAGTATACTCACTGTTAATTTCAAACCAACCCTGGAGAGCCTTATATGTTCAAAAAGAATCCATATGATCCTTCGTCGTAGTGAGTGAATACAGCCTGAGTCACATGGGAAAACACATGGAGGACGTAAGGTGAGTTCATGAAAATAACTAGCCGCATGACCACTTAAATGGATTTCGGGATGTTCTGATAAGAAACATGACGATGCATGGTCGTATGTTTGCAGCGTAAAGTTGAGATTGAGGGTATCCGCGCGAGCCTCATCATAGTACAGGAATTTCATTAGGGTACTCAGTGAAGGAAGGAAAACGGTGTATCTTATTGTTGTTCATCAAAAATAGATTTTCTATTTAAGAAAGCAGATGTGAGTTGGAATTTTTGAATGGCCTTGCCTATTCTATTGAAGGTAATATCGGACGTAATTTTTATATATTTTAAAAGAAAAACAAAAATTTAAAGGGACGATATATTAAAGGGACGATGGGATAGTTTAACAATTAATTCATTAGTTAGATAAGTAGCAAAGAGAAATCTGCACAAATATTAATCGGTTTTATTTGTAGCTTTGGGTAGATCTAAACATACGCGATGTCAAATTAAAAGAATAATTAAGAGTAGACAATCCTATTGATCTAACAAATCATGTCAATTTGAGAGAGTAGATTTTAGAAAGAAATAATATAAAACGTAGTCATAAAATAAGAAAAACATAGAATAGCTCTAAAATTTACGAGATAATAAATAATACGAGATATTGAGAAAACTTCATACTGGCCTATGGATTATTCGGACCCATATCCTATAAAGACTATAATATACGTTTACTTAAACTACTATTCTACAGTAATTGTCTTTTGCGATTTTCATGTCAAAGATCATTGTTATTATACGGGGTAAACAAGGAGCAGGTATTGTAATAGTTTGGAAAAGATTTCATTTATTAATCCAATTACAGCCAACACATCTGAACCTACCAGATTTATAACTTTTCTTAACACTACGCTATCATAGAACGCCCCTACAATTCATCTCGCCCAAGAGAACAATAACCTCCTGATGACCGTACGCGCAGTAATTCAACTTTCAGGCCTGCTATATAACTACTACATCTTGATCTAGAAAATCTAAGATTTGACCTATCTAGTTAATTACAAAAGAATCATATTATATCAAATGAATTTGTTGCGTCACCGGAAATCGGTTCAAACCAGAAATTTCTACCCTTTCCTTTTCTCTGTTTATTTTTTATATTATTATTATGACAATGTATGTATACAAAGTCATGCGTTTAAAGTGGAGAACACCTTTGCAGGCTGTTTGTTATATCGAGCGTGTGTCAGTCTGCTCTGAGTAACATCAGACTAATTTTTTTTTAAAAATAAAACAACAAACTCGTCGCGGCGGATAACACCGCGTCTTTGTCGAAATCCGATCAAAGATCACCTATCATTCAATCTTTTTGAGTAAGACCAATCCCCGCTAAGGTTTATAACTTTCTTCTTTACCCTAAATTGTCAAATTACATTGCTACCATTTTGTATTCGGCTTCTGAAAAGCCCGAGAAAAATTTCCGTAAGACAAGCCGGAAGATCCTTATGGGGTTCAAATTGGCGAGGCTTGAAAATTAATCAAAAAGCTATATTCGCTTGGGTTTGTTACTGAAAGTGATGGTCGCGTTAGGAAAGAGAATATCTATTACCGACTGGGTCGTTCATATAGGCTCTAATAGTCAGTCTTTTTGTGCATTTTTGAGAGTTTTTTTTCCATCTTTTGAACTTTTTGGCCATCTTAGCCTTTATATTTTTAAGACTTTTTTTCGCTATAACTTCGCTAAGACTTAATTTCGCTATAATTTTTCATAGCTACATTTTAGCAAGTTTCTACTTACCGATATCGTTTAGTACAAAGTCACTATTAAAAACTTATTATCGGGCGAAAAAAGGAGATTAATGTTTTCGAAATGACTAGTTAGTGGTAATTATAAGGGTGGTACTGAATAACTATGACCGTGAGAAATCAGACTTTTAAACTTCATTGAAATGTTTGTTATTCAAAAACAGTCTCAGAAAAAAGTATCAGAGAAATCTTTATATATAAAGTTTTCCACCATCACTTATTCACCGCTTCCACAGATCTTGGTTATTTACCTCTGCCAAGATTGAAAATTGCAGAAAAAATATCGTATTCACAACCTACAATATTTTTCTCGAGAATTCTGAAATCAACATGGTTACTTTCGACGTGAACTGAAAAAGTAATCATGGCTTATAACGTTCTTTATTTACATAAATGTTGACCCATATATATTGCGTCTGAAGGGTCTCCGTGCGTAAAAGAAACTTTTTGTAATAGTTAAGTTTTCTATAGACGCAGTATTATTGGAGATGCATTGCTTTTAAGGTTGGAGCTTGATGAAACCCTTTCGCTTCAATGGCGGGTCTTTTAAAATATCCTAGTTGGACTTACATTTTTCAACTTTGCTAGTGAAGCCACATTAATGCTTCAATTCGAGAAGACAGAAACTGGGTTTAAAATATAATGTCGTACACCGCTCAAAATCCATGCCTATAGTTTCAACGTAAATAGCAAAATTACCACACATTCGAATTGACGTATACTTGCAAATATGTTGCTATGTCAATTTCTGTGTAAAGAAGTTACCCTTTCGAAATGACAAAATAATGGGAGCACTCAAACCGCACAAGAAAAATTACTTCTTCTGTGGCAGGATTTCAGTAAGTCACGATTATCCGATTCTCGTGTTTACTAGAATTGTTCTCCGAGGAGCTTTCTGAGCATCCTGTTGTACAGTCCATATGCCGCTATTGCTAACGGTCGTGGAAAATTGGCTACCGAAACGGGTAATTGTGTCGTGCGTATGATCGCTGATTTGTGAAACGCTGTTGCGGAACTGCCTGTCAAAATAGGCCACGGTGACGCGAACTCTCGATAGCGCGTCTTAAGAGACGACCTTCCAGTCCAGTAGGGCCTTGCAGTGTTCTTGAAATATTCCAGTAGTAGTAGTAGAGGTAGCAATAATGCTTTAATAATAACATAGATTACTCTGATTGTTAAGGGAAATAAGTCGACTGATACAAACATTCCGTTTTAGCAGGAAACTTGATGCAATCATACTTCAGTACACTTCGTCAGTTACTACTTTTGTTAAGAACTCTCCGCGCTGGAAATAACCAAATTTTTGCAAGAATTAAATACTATGTAAATCGCTTGTTTTTTTGTCAGCACAACCAGGACGCGTATAGATAGACACGTACAGTCCACGTTTAGCTAGAGTTTGACAATGACGACAGTCTTATGTTACGTTATCACCTGGCTAGTCAGTTGCAAAAGATACTAACCTTTAGATCTCCGAAAATGTCTTGTAATGCCGTTGAGTTTAACTGGCCAAGGGCTCGGATATCGATCTGGTTCTGCGCGAGGAACTACTGCATCTGTCTTAGCAGATTCATTTGGGTACCATTGAAATTAAAAAATTCCCCTATGTTTAGTGAGTCGGACAAAGGAGCCGTGGCGAACCCTGTCGAATAACGGCAGGAAATAGGCTCTTAGCAATGTTTTGTGACGAAGTAAACTATTGTATAAAACTACTATTCCTTTCAATTGGTTGAGCTGCACAAGAGTTACAGGTCCACTAAGACAATCGAGTGATCTGAAGGAAATCAGCGGGGTTGTAGCATCTTTATCTGATGTGTAAAGATGCAAATAAGGAGAGAGGTTTCTGAAGGGTGGACATATTTTCCTGCAAATAAAGTAAGCTTTACAGAAATGAGCTGAAGCTGGTGACTAAAAGCTGGCTTGCTTATGAAAGAGATGTATTGATCTTTGGCTGTGGTTCGTCATTCGGTAACAGTGTCACTATTCCGAGTTCCACGAACAACCACAGACTATGGGCGACATCTTCGTGACGGTCGTCTGAAGTTCTGCTTACACTCCTTCAGAAAACGCTGCTTACGACTGCGACTTATCTACAATGGTTATACATATGAAAGAAATCATAGACTGAATGGCTGAGTCATAGCTGCCTTAGAGTGAGAGTTCTCACTATAAAATGTTGACAAATTTGCAGACACACTTATTTCATTCGAAACGTTAAAATATAGGTTCGTCATGACCTTCGGAATCATTGTGCACTCTTAGGTAATCTTTACGATATTCTGGGCGCACTTCAATGCAGTGACCTCGTCTGATCGAAGTCGACATCCGATACATGGGTGTATGAGTAGGTCTTGTGCAAAGGTACTGTTATTCGTTCTATTTGTAAGTACGTGCGAGATTTTGATTCGCAATGACGATGGCTCAAGGTGCGATCGGCATAAGAAAACTTAAGGAGTCACTGGACAACTTCGAAGATAGCGTATCCGAATGTTTTGAGCTGAAGTCTGTAAATTAAGTGCATTCTTTTCTGCGAAACCAAAAATCGTGAGCCCTTCTGCATTAACCAGTTTAGTAGTCGTTTGTAATGTGAAAAGGACGATAGAAGTTTGCGCTGTTGACAGTGTAAAAAAAAGGAAGGAGAACTTTGGCAACTCATTTATCAGCACGGTGATCCTAATAGCAGTTCCACGATGGTTAGCATTTCTAGCATTTGTGGCCTCCGTCGCTGTTTTTGTGGTGGCAACGACGGGTTATTGCGCAATACCATTTATAATTGGTGCAAAAGTTCGCCAGATAAGAATGAATCTTCTTCTTATAGCGAAAATCTGTATCTGAAATGGCCGTTGTTCATAGTGTAGTTTTCACGAAGTATTTCTGAGAACAGCGAGGCATTAGATTTGAGACAGGCGTTTGCCAATCGAAACTTAAACGATCTTTGAACTAACTTAAATTGACCTACGTAAATTTCCTCTTAGTTAGCGCCGTCTTCAGGTGATTGTTTGGCAAAACGAATACTAAAAACCTTTGGCACCCAAATAAAATAGTAACTAATAAATTGAATTACGTTATTTTATTGCAACCCACAAATGTTATGTTGTATTATGAACCATTACATCAATTTAAAACCATCATCAAGATATGCTTTATTAAGGCAGTAGGATTTTTGATATATGCCTTCTGTGGCCTCCAAGCGTTGTGTGCCAGTTAAGAACTGGATTCGTTTATGGGTCATAATATGGCTCACTTCTGCTATATATTATACGGTGGAACTGGAATAACTAGTTTCTACTTTCGCAAATGTCCGGCAACCTGAATATGCTTATCACTTGTATACTGATGGACGTTACTTAATGAGATAGTGCCTGTCAGTGTTATTGATTTAGCGCCTCACTTAGTCAGACCAACAACCTATTATTATGCGTATTAATATGACGACACAGGCAATTTGTGCCCGTTATTATTTGGCTTCATGCTAGAAAAGATAATTTATATTTATTTATTGCTGAATTAGTAATCAATGTTATTTAGTGCATTTAACGTGTAGTATTGCAAAATTATCTATTGAAAAGTTATTATACGAGACAGTCTTCAACGGAAATATGTAATTAATCTATTTGTTTTTATCTGAATTTGCAACAAATATGTCTTATTGAGGACGGTCCAGCTGTATCGAAGTGGGCAGATATAAAAGTTCCCGTTTATTTTTCAGTGTTTATGTTCAATATGAACAACTCAGATGCTTTTGCAGCTGGAGAAAAGCCTATTCTACAGGAATTCGGCCCATATGTCTATCGGCAAAATCGGCGCAAGCTTTACCAGGCACACTGACAAATGTATCGTAGGTAAATCCGCTGTAGCATCACTCAGTGGATTGGAAGAAAGAAATCTAAGAACTGTGGTTCGAGCCGCACCACTGACACAAATACTACACAATTCGCGTCAGTAATAAAAAGATAATATTTTTAAGTATCGTGATATATTTCGGCGACCTTTATATATATATATATATATATATATATATATATATATATATATATATACACTGATAATTATACGACAAACGGTTTTAATTGTTGCAATCTAAAGATCAATCTTGAATGACAAACTTCCTATGCACATGCACTCACGAATCAATTACTAGAGACGTTCGCCGTTTTTGACGAAACAATCATAGACAATCTGTACCATTTACAGCAATACATCAAGAGTAAGACAATACGTCCAGAATCTTTGTTTACTTTTAAAGCACAAACACAACAATGTTTCATTTTGCCTATAGGTAACATACAGGGACTTCAAGTCATACCACTTCGTTCTCGGGTATTCGAAGGGCACTCCAAATGACCGACTATACGCGGTAAATGTGCTCCTAGTGGCCACGGATAAACTGGTCAAGGCAAGACTACCCGGGTATACTGTGAAGTCCTTGCTACGACTGATGCTTGAGAGCCTCATCAATAAGCACAATTAAAAGCTTGGTAACCGCAGTTTGTGTATTTGTTCTGAGCAACGCAACTAAAAGCCAGATTTAGCGACATACACGTATGTGTGAGCTAATCGGTTTCTTAGGATACTGCAAAGTTTCTTGGGTTGGATAATAATTGACTCCTTTGTAAATACGCCCGGTGTGAACTCAATGAATGCTCTAAATAATGAATGATAAGATAATGACATGATGAGGGCAAGTTATGTTAGTTAGAATCTGCCTAAGCAGGCGGACTCGGATATTGCTTAGATACATAGGAGATGTTATGCTCTTTTCTCTATGCTACTCGCGCTTTTTTCACGACATTTTGCATACCTATTGAAATTCTAGAAGGAGCCCCTCTAGGTTGTAATTATTATTAGTATAATTACTATACATATTTCCGAAAACCTATAACTTGGGTTTGTTCTTTCAGTTGTTCAATGCAAAGGCAAGAAAAATGCTCTTCGATGGTTACGCGCTACCGACGATTCCTGAACTGACCAAACTTGGCTCCTTATTCATGCTCAATATTAAGACGCTTGCAGCTAACAGATTTGGCTTGTTATACAGTCGGAACAGGAGTCGGAAATTATCCCTTTAACAAGGTCCTCGCATAGAATAACCGAACGTAGGTTTATGTTTTACACGAAAATAAATTCACTAGTAGATTAATACTCACCATAAGCCATGCAATTTTTAGAAGACTGGAAAGTCCCATCTAGTAGGACAGCAGCCATAAATCGAAGACTATCTTGTTGTATAGGGCGAAGGTATAGGGCGGAAGTAAACTTCTATTTGTAGATTTTTGTAGGATCATGTAAATTTTTCGAACAGATTAGTAATGGAAATGGTCGTATTTGTTTTGATATAAGGAAACTTTCACATTTCCTATTTTGAGCTAAACTTCAAACCAATAAAACGTTCTTTATCCATCCTTCCACTATATTTATCATTCTTTACAATTTATAAAAGAAATCTGCAGTTCTTTACATTATCCCTATTAATCGGATGTACCGAATTTCTCTGAAATATATCGGTGTACATTATCTGTTTATTCGGTTATTGTAGGCCATTAAATTTCTAGCAGACGAATTACTGCGACGAGATCAACGGAACCGCTAAAGGATAATTCTCGCCTTTCGTTCGAACTGACCCTGTCGATCGATCTATTTCGTATACGAAATAGAGACATATGTGAAATCTATTAAAACAAAACGGTAAAGAACATAGAGTGCTTAATTAAAGTCAGCAAAGTCTAGCTATATTAGTTTGTCTCTTGTCAGAAAGGTAAAACATGCCATTTCAAGGCACGTTTTATATATTACGGAGGGAACAATAATTTTTTGGCAGCTTGAGAGTCTTTATTTTATATCTGTTTAAGTAACGAAAAAATAAGATATAGTGAACATAAGAGTAAAAAAAATTAGATGAGGACCCTTAAACAGTTACAACTTAGATCCTTAAACAAACTGTTAGGAAGCCTTTGCCTGCCCGTTCTGTATATTTTTATTGAAAAATTGCTACCAAATTTATCTATAAACTTCACCGGTTATTAGTTACCTTATTTTAGAGTGCAACGTTACAAAAAGCTACTTTGTTCACAGTTCCTGTCTCGGTTTTTGCCTATGGTGAACAATAGTCAGAAAATAAATGCTTTTAGGACACGAGCGATCGATGTCATACCATTGAGTACGCATCAAGGAAGTGCACCGATTATGCTTTCGGCCCGACACTTTTACCTGGGTGACACAAACCTTATTCAGGCCGTCGGGGGACTACGGCAAATACACGAAACGTTTCTAGGCGTGCAAACGGTACAAAAAATGTAGCATGAATGCGCATTTAAAAAAATTTATTTTTTCGCTGACCTGTACTTCAAGGATTAGTTGGTATGTGTATTTCGCTCACTACTGATATCCCAATAAGACCTCCATGCAACCCGTCAGTGGATAGTTAAAACCCTTTTCCAAAAACAAAACGGATTATGTTTTTAGGCAGGAGCATTTAATAGTTGCTCTCGTGGCATCTAATATAATGTTGTGTAATAACAGTTTATTAAGCATTTACTATTTCCTTTAAGGTTTTATTTCGATTCTTTAAAGAGTCCGAATAAAATTATAATAGTCTTTGAAAAAACTTTGCATACTAGAGGGTCGTATTTTTTTTATATATAATTGAACGTTTAGAAAAATATAAAGAAATTTGGAAAAACGTTGGAGCCATTATATTTTGACTAAGTTATACAGGATAGAAATTAGATATGCTGTTTTAATCGACCAAATAAATTATACATTACCCGTAATTGTTGACAGATGAAATCAGCTTTGTTGTTCTTCGACTTCTTATTTGTTGCATTATGGGAATGTAAAATACTGATCCGGCTCGTTCCCCAAACCTACAACGTTTGCAGAACACGAAATTAGTTCTGCGTGTTACAAAGCGTCCCGAAATCAATGTCGATCCCCGGAGGGGTGATCTGCTTTAGTAAGGTTTATTTAATTTTATATGATAAAATAGTCTTAAAATGACGTACTGTTTTCTTTTGCAAATATAGGTCGTACGATCATTGTGGTATGAATAGTCATTTGATTGCAACTTTCTGCAAGTGCCATATTGTCTTATCCAACTATTCAATATTCCCAATAAAGCTTGCGAATTCTTGCATAAGCGTGCAATAATTTAATACTCACCCATATGCGCGGACGATTTCCCCTTTTGAATCTCCTCGTGTCCAAGATTTACTAACTTGAATCTTTCTACCTTTTCAACACCCTTGTGAACGTGCTCAATAGAATAATGCCTACAGCATAGGTGGAAGAGGTTAGTATAATTTACTTTTTAGGATGTTTCGCTTGGCTTACCATATTTTAAGAAAAAAAAAGAACGAGGCTCAACAGAATGTCAATATTCAAGCTGGAGCCTCCTATAACATCCTGAAGATCCGTTCAGTGCATTTTAAGAAATCGACGTGTTTCCAACTGCCCTCAGTCAGGTTCTGCGACAAGTTGATTTTTTTCTTGGGGGTTTCCAGCCAGCTTAATCCGGGAGCCCACAAAAATTCAGTCAGTCATATCCGACAAAGTTCTCGTAGCAATGAGAGTCACTCTTTAATTATCACATTATAAGTATTTATAAGTGACAAAAAAATGTTCTCAATATACGCTACGTTTTACTTTCGCATCTAACTATCGTATATAATCTTCTGGCAAAACGTTTTTAAGTGATAAAGTACACACGCATATTTCTAACAATAAGTCTTAAAGCTTCGTAAAGCAGTCTTTCGAAGTGAGGCTGATTGAATGGCACTAAACGCCGGTTGACAGATAGTTGCACGCCACTTCGATACGCAGCTTAGGTATTACGTCGTGAAGCCTCTATCGACAAAAGGGGTAGTCCCCAAACGAAAAATAAATAATCGTTTCTTCTCTTTGTATATATAACAAAATGATAATTGAATCAGTTTACATGTACAGAGTCGGGCAGAGCTATCTTAGTTTGGCACTTCGCAGCTTGAGAGTTTTCCAATAACTTTTTTATTTTTACTACAGTTTTGCTACATGCACACTCTCGTTCTACTCTTCTTTGCTAGACCCTCGGGCTGTTAAGCGATTTTTGCTACACCCTGTATATTATACACATAACACCTAACCTTCGTTCCGTCTTTTTCGCCAGTCAATGGAGGCGTCATGGTCGATGACAGAAGCCCTTAGAGAGAGATTGGTTCTGCCCCAGACAATGGGAAAACAGATTTCTGCCATGATGGCTGTTGGTGGCATTATCGGATCGATCACAGCTTTAATCATAGTCACTGCACAAAAAACCAGTACCTCGAAGACTGTTAAATTTCCGTCGTCATTCTAGATCAATCGAGACGGCTAGAAAAAAAAAGCTATCGCGAACGGAGCCTCTTTAGGTTGGAATCGAGGCCTAACCATCTCGAGATAACGAACTGAAAGCGAGAATAGGCTCAGCTGACACAATACCTTCGTTGCTACTATATATGAACATACTCTAAGCCCCCTACACCGAATTGTATAGCCCCCCTACACCGAATTGTTGCTCTTTCAGCAAGTGAACCCTGCGTGTAGGTGCCCATGAACCGATAAATACACCGCACATCAAGTTGGAAATTGTCTCTGGCTTGCATGCGCGATACACACAAGCACAATGGGAAAAACACTTCGTATGAAAGGAACCAGAGCGAATGTTAACAATAAAAAACCACAACATAAAGAAGTGGAAAATGGAATTAAGCAATTCTGTCACTTTGTTTTTATTGTTGTGCCGTTTAGCCACTCCATGTCAATTCAAAAGTAAATCTACGACTGCCAAAACATATCTAAATAAACCTAAGTAAATATTACACGCAAATAGAAAGGATTTTTCAATTGGAAACTGTATAGTAAACGGGTTGGCGCGTAAGCGAAAGCTATTGTAAGCTAGATGCAATTTTTGCAACCCTTTCTTAGGTTACTCTCCTCTGCTTTTGTGAGGTCAGTTCGAAAGCAAGTAAATACGACGGCGGAAAGTATTGAACAGTTTGCAAGTGGCTTTGTTCGACTACATATTACTTTTTTGATAATCTATTCTTTAACAATTTTTTTTTTGTCCCTGGTGTAAGTATTGATTCCGTACTCCAAAATTCGTGCTTCTGCCACATACGCAAATCCCTAGAACTAAAACTTCGTGTCTGCCAAACGCTCCTTATTAGTGTACCTGTATTGCGGTGGATACCCACCCCAACCAAATAACTTGAGTGAAAATGGCAGTAATGTATCTCTTAAATAAACCAATCTAAAAACTGACGTTTTTTTCAGTATTAAAAATTATGTCTTACATTTTCGGGATACTAACGAACTATAAAGGAATTAACTTGTCATATTCGCTGAGAAAAACCATGACATTTTCTATCAACGCGAACGTTTAATTAACCGAAGTCCGAGGTTTCATTTATAGAAGTTGAAGAGTATGATAAATATACGTGGCCTTCAAGAGCTTTTCTGCCGATAACGTATATTACCAAATGATATATTTATTTAATCACAACTCTCTTGTAACATATGTTACAGGTGGTGATTTTGACTAACGTATGCGAATTGATCCATTAGAAGGTAAAGGGCTTTTACCAATATTTAAACAAACGGCAGCTACGTGTTTCAAGCCGCAGTAAAATTAGAAATATAGCACTTTTGCAACAAAAAATAAGTTTGTATTTTTTAGCACCGTTTATTATATATTTCCAACATTGCATCTTTAGTGTCGTAACTATTTATGTATACCTAAAACATTTCTAGTTTTCCCTGTTATTGGCTCAAAAACTGCGTTATACGGATCGTTAGATATTCTTTTTGGCTTCAATGATTTTGGCAACAAAAAAGATGGCAAAAAATTATTCCGGAAGTTAGGGAAAACTTTATCAAACGTGTCAAATTCAAAAATAAAATTTCGTTTTCGTCGGATAACAATCATTCATGTAATTCTTGCCATAATCAACAGTGTTCTACATATTCGTACCTATTATTTTGATATAGGATGCTTTTGCAACTTGCAACATATATATATATATATATATATATATATATATATATATATATATATGCAAATTTTATTTAAAAAAAAAGTCGTTGCTTAGATAAAATCAAGTCGGCTTAACACTCGTGTTACGGCTTTCGACCCGAATGATCTCGCGACTCAATTTACTCGACCAGAGTTATTGCACTTATTGAGAATTCGTAGATAATTAACCTAATTAGGATCGGGCAATGATGCCAATGCATTAACACTATGCGGTAATACTCTATTTAAATCGTGGTGCCACATCTTAGTATGTTAGCATCCTGAATCTGAAAAAATGTCACACGCCCGGTTTTACGTTCAATTTTAGTTAAGCATTGCTCTTGGCGGCTGGCGGCTCATTCCGTCAGAAAACGTGTGTCTACACCCAGTTTTGGGCTTAGACCGCAGTTTAACTCGTGTTTAGTTGGAGCGACCACGTCAGTGCCATACCGTTTGGTGAAGACTGGCATTTTTCATGTGACAATTTCCGATTTGGCCCAAGTAGGAAGCACTGAACCTTTTTTGCTGTCATCGGCATCATCTTCATTTCTGTTCTCATCAATCTTTTCTCCTTCTTCCTCAACCAAAGCGATTTCTTGTGCGTTTTTACGTGCGCTATTATAGAAGTCTGGTATAGTGAGGTCACCCGAATCCCTCAAATACTGGCGCTGATTAATTGCTTTGATCTGAGCTTGTTGACTCTCAAAAATTCGCTTGAGCGTTCTATAGGCGAGCGTCTCTTTAGCGTGAGCGTCGGCCAGCCATTCTCCAACCTGCTCGAAACGTTCGGCCAACCCGGGAACTACCTTGTAAAAGCGTGGCTTCAACGTGGTTGCATTTATAGACCTGAAACGTAGGAACCGATCAAGTGGCACTCGTTCACCGACAGAATTTTGTTCCTGTAAAGTATAAACAGAACGCAAGTTGAAATCAACCAACCGTATAACACGTAACAGAGCGAACGTCTCCAAACAGTTTGAAACAAAAGCCTTTTTACTTCATAGTTTTCGAGTCCTTATCTAATTGTTTTTCTGTTAGTCTTACTTTACTTTATCCTTTTATTACTCTGTCAGATACAAGATACACACTGGCGAACTATCAAGAGTCTTTTGACCCATTCTATATAATGAATGATTGATAAACGTTTTCGACGCTACAAAGAACCGAGCTTAAAGTAACGTCTAGTTGACTTGCCTTAAATCATGAGTTTATCGTTTTCATATTTTTGCGAGCGAATTCATTGATTAATGGGATCATCCTTAGTCAGCGCGTCGCGGAGGCAATATCAGGATTACCTGTCTATATATAAATCGTTCAACCTTAAGGGTTGCTACCGAAAACGCTAAATGAGACTTGTGCGTTTAGACAGTTTAGGCGAGTGAACACAGTTTCCGAGGGCACGTGTTAGCTATAATCAAAAACCAAAATCACTTTGGAATTAACGCTTTTTCATATATTTTTGAAAGAACAAACGAGCTCAATAGAGTCTCTTTAATGCATTCTATTAGTAATCGTTAAACAATCGTCATAAGTTCTGGTAGGAGATCTCCAACTATTGTCAAGGCATATCTTCTATATTGCACACCCTTTTTTTTTTTTTTGTAAAAACACAAGATTCTCACTTGAAAGCTAAACGTGTGCAACGTTGATTCCAAGAAGCTATCACAGCGTGTTAAGTTTAATAACAGATACTTCAGATTTCTAGGTCTGATTCTGCTCCGGTTGACCATTGCTTCAGATATCTGGTTTCCCCAGCATGAAACAAAATAAACCAGTTTCGAACCTAGAATACTTTTCGTATCTTTCAATTCAATAGACGAACGTATTATTACTTCATCGTCACATGAACACTTTGAACTTTCCAGTTTTAGCTTCCAATCTATGTATTTCACCCTTTCACCATTTAGATTTATTAATCCGTTAGTATATTGAAGTCTATGTCAGATTCCATTACAACAAACAATCCACATGTGCGAAAATAGAAAATATGTTACCGCTCGTCAAAATAAGTACTGACCTCGCTAAGTTTTTCCAGAGTTTGGGCCAATTTCTTCGCTCGATCTTCATTAGACGCTGTAGTATCTCGTTTAAAAAATTGTCGTTGGTCTTCTTGATTTCCATGGTTTTTTCTAGCGCCTGATGGATCAGCCTTGCCTTGCACGATAAGCAGCGTACGAGCATTTGCTTCTGACCAATGAAGAGAGCCTGCCAATAGAACAACAAAAACCGCAAAACAAAACATGGCCTCTCAAAACGACTTTGTCACATTGGCAATATTCAGAGACACTTAGCGCGTATGTCAGGACTGAAACCTGGCGACGAACGAAGTGCTCGAGGCCTTATATATATGGCCTCTACTATGAAGACGGGGAGGGTAGGATGAACTGAAAGAACTTCGAAGAGATCTGTGCGCCTTTCAGTCCGTTTAAAACTTGAAGTACTGTTCGTATACGAGCTAGCTTATGGCTGTGGAGAGGGCGGTTTGCCCATCTAGTGAATCCAAACAAGAGATCATTTCTCGGCTCCCATTTGGCGGGGGCGACCTGTCGTCGTGGGAGGTATATGAACTGGAGAGGTGGTGGCTCTGAAATTCTCCCATGATCATTACCCCGACATAGTGGCGCCTAAAGTTCCAAGATCCGAAACTTCTAATCAATAGTGTATCCCTACTTGAATAACCTGAGCGCCCAAATGCTTGCTGGCAAAATCTGCAGTTAAATGGACATTTAAAAGGATTTGTAATACAGGGCTTTAGCCTTTGGGTGACACTTTTAGAACAAATCAGCTTTCGTACTTGGAGCTATAAGAGTGCAGTTCATCAATGTCTGTATTTGCCTTTTGAGTGAAGTTACCGATTTAGGTACAAATGTGTTTACTTTGTGTTTCCTGCGGTTGCCTGCGGCTAGGTAAGAAATTTGCCCGTTCAACTGTCGTCAGCCCGTGACATTGAGTGGTGGACACCGTTAGCTTTCGTATAAACAACGATAGTGCAATTGAAAAGCACGATATAGAAAAAAATTAAATTTCACTGGAAAAATAAGAAGCTTCCAAATCGGATGAATATGAAACAGCTTTTCCAATAGAACCTCGACCACATAGCTTATGCATTTTCTTAACTATCTTAATTAACGCCAATTTTGACGTAGCCTCTGATTTCTTATATTCTGTGTAATTTTTTTAGTAGACAAATTGTCGCCAATTCCTCTTCTCGAAACTTACGCGCGGCTAGGATTTGCTGTGGTCGCACCTTCGCCTGCGAGCCTTTTGCCGATGTTGTAAGGCTTTATCTACTATTTTTAATTTTTCTCAGGAGTTAATCTACCTACCTTACAGCGTCCTTCATTTTATCAACCGTAATAAACACGCCGATTCGAAGCATTGTGTGCAACACCTTCTTCTGGCTGATAGGAGATGAATAAATATGAAAAATTTCTAGTGACGATGAAATTCAGGTTGGTGGCATAACTGCCTGATGTTAAACGACAAATTTAATTATTTTATGTACTGTGGATTGTGCGCGGTTATTGTTATCTCAGTGTCCACTCATATAAGTGATGGAATATTGCGTGTAGATCTCTTATCATTTCATAGCATTTTAATCTGTACGCGTTTGATGTTACCTAGAGACATTAAAACTGTAATATCGGCACATGAAGGCGTGCTAGAAGAACCTACCGCCAATGGACTTACAATATACGTACGATACGGCGCATACAGGAAACAGATACTCTGCTACTGCTGCTTCTGCCTTTCCAGACGCTAGGGTTATTTAAGGAAAAAGTTATACTATATATATATATATATATATTGTTTTTAGTGTTCATTATTATTATTTAAAATCATTATCATATAAAGTATATTAGAGCTCTTGAGAGTTGAGGTGGTTTGATACGTGTGTCGATGACGATATGTTTACAAGGAACTAATATTGAGTAGCAGTCAAGGATGAATACAAGCACGATTTTTATAACGACGCCTGCGATCGTTTTTAGATGACAGGTTGCGTGCGTCATCGTCAATGTCGGAGGTGCTTGATCCTAAATTTATAGTGTAGCCAAGTAGGTGAAAGCCAACTTTGATCTTAGGCTGGGGTACGCGCTCTGTCAGTCTGTGAGCGTTGATAAATCTCCATTGAATATATGATATAATTTAGATTTATGCAACGATCATTGTAACTGCAGACATCTTAATGATGTCTTAATGTGCAACGCCCGCTGGTTTCATGTGTACGATGCTATTGTTCATTTTGGCTTGATTTTTATACGCTTACTATGATAAATTTAATGTACAGTTAATGATTATGGTATAGTAAAATAGGCTTAAAATTTATGTGACATAAACATTGATAAGTAGAGCAAACTTGTTTTTGCTTCTCTGAACCTCGTTTGTAAATTACTTATCATTGAAGATGCGCCGTTCAATGCTAATTGCAGTCCGAGGACAATAGAAGAAGCGTCTCAGTCAACCTATGTATATTAATAATCGATTTAGTAACAAAAAAAACTAGAATAATGCCTTTCAAAAAATGAAATATGTATGTTAAATAAAAACCCTTAAAGCACCAAAAGACTTTTGTCCATCTAGGGCACAGAACCTAAAACTGGGACAAACTTGGTTGGCTGTTTTTGATCGTCAGAAACAAACTTACAATATTGTTGTTTTCGCAAGTTGAAAGACAATAAACTTATCTAACCCTTGCACTGGACAAAGTTTCACCAACATAAGAGACTGCCTTTTTTGCCCAAAGTGGATGCTTCATATTATAAATATTCAAAGGAGCTTTCCACGGGGCAGACTTGGAGATCCTCAATAGGTTTTAAATTTAAAAATCTTAAAAATTCTTTATATATATATATATAGGTAATCGTCCTTTACGTATGAAACCGGGGTATATGTCGCTATGAACAGCACACCAGTAATACCTAGATGCATTAAATTCTAATTGGTATCTATTCGGCACCATCCTCTTATAAGCTTTCTATTCAGGTGCTGTATGGCTTGCCCTAGCTTAATATCATTATCATACCTCTCTATCCTCATATCATGTATTGCCAACATACGACTCGCTAATTAAGGTTGAATTGGCGATATAACTTGTATTTTTACTTTCATTATTAATGTTTTTACCACTTCTTTCGTCTTGACAATTCGCTAGCCTGCAAAATGATCTCCATTAAAACCTCATCAATTTATGCTCAGCCAAAACAGATAGACACATCGTTCAAACGAATGCAAGCCACTTCCTATTGAAGCCCTTAGAGCAAAGGTCATCGTGCAGGGTTTGCTCGAAACTCTACACGGGTGGTCCTGAGCATTACTTGGTAGACAAGTAGATTTCCGGTTATAACAACAGTCTCAACAAGATTTCTGCGGAGGATGTCGGCCAAATCGAGCCCCTTAGACAGCGAAGCGACGGACCTCGGTACGCAGAGGCGCAGAGTAGGTCTATATCGGATGCCCTTTGCGCAGGCTCTTTTGTCGTCATTTGTGGTTAGTGTCTGGCTTTCTGAATCTGTCTGGGGTCTCATAACTCTCGAAAAGTGCCTCCAATATGCCAGGTTTGAGTAGGTAATCCGCCAGGCGGATGATTTCCGATTAAAGGCTACTGGCCACGCAGCCTGCCACACGGCATTACTAGGAGAAGAATTGAATTGAAAAAGATATTGAAATCGAGCAATATACAATCTTCGGCCGGTAAATAATGAGCAAAACGTCATCGCGATTAACGGTTGATACTATCCCGTTGGCAACAATCGTATGGTGTTTCTCACATGTCAGTTTTCATACGGAGGCCCGGCGGTGGCTAATGGCCAGATCAAACTATTAATAAATTTGTTTTTATCCGTATGAGAGAGCCTCACGCACTTTAAATTAAAAGTTCATCCGTATATATACGTTTTTCCGTGTGTATACAAAAGCAATGAAACGCTTTACTTTATCGGCTCTGCTTTATTTTCTTTTCGTCTAATAGGGAAAGCAGCTTGGCGCCTAAACGACAATGTGCACGGAAATCGGAGAGGTGACCCTCGACTTCGTCAGGGACACGAATAAGGCCGATCTCATATATTTACTGCATATAAGACATAATTTATTTTTATGTCTGAACTTCCGTGCACCGCGTAAGCCCCTCTGTGTTTACTAGCTGCTGCCAAGGTGATAAAGACAAGTTTCGATACCTTAACAATTGCGATAAATATTACGCAGTAGTATTTCGTATAAGCTAGCCACTTTCAGATGGATTAACCTTTGGGTAATGTCAGAACAACCTGAAATAGTCATAGGTAAATGAAAATAATATCTGTTGCTTATAGTGATCAAGCGAAATAGAATCAAGAGATAAAGAAACGTTGCTTCCGCCCAGGCAACATTATATCTATTATGCCGTTAGTGCAAAGTAAGAGTTTTGTCTACCTGAAATAAAAACGAATCAGTAATTTAATTAAATTAGCAGATTACAATATAAGACAGAGAAGACAGAGACAGTAAAAAAAATACCTTTAAAAATATTTTTTATTTATTATTTCTTTAATATCGTTATAATATTTCAGGTAAATGGCCGTTCCTTTCCCAGTGTTTCAACGGCCCAATACCTTTCCTATAATCTTTTTCGCCAAGCCATCCAGAGCTATCTATTCGACTTCACTTCCAATTATTTCATTATATATTTTTGTTTTTTCTCCACCCTATTAATTTACCCTTAGCACCAAAGAGGTCGCATGCGCGTCTATCCATCGTCAGCACATTTGCTGTGATATCGGCTCATGCGATCAAGATTCATGAGTGTGTTTTACTAAGGACACTATCCTATCACTGTCACACTTATCACTGTCACGGATTTGTCGTTGTGGTCGCGTCGGAGCGTTTCGCGAGCTACTGCTATTCCCATTAAACCATTTAACAGCTCGACAGACATCCTCATCTCAGCTTATCATTACAATCTCGTTGCCTGTCGCTATTTTTTTTTAACTTAATTTATAAGATATCGTCGATTCTGCCCCTCAGCAGCAGTATTACAATGTCCTTTAACTAACCGCCTGCAGCCACGGGACCTCATGAATGAGGGAGACAGCAGGCAGATCACCATGCACGTTTTTATGCACTTAGAAACCGTATATTCATATATAGCTATATATAACCTAGCTAAATATTTCAACTTTTACATCTAGTACTGCCTTAGATGGCATTGACCTAAAAAGTCGGTGTTTAACCCCAAATGAAGATTACAAGTGTTCCTAACACCAAACTAAGTTTATCTAGTTGAAGTTTTGACCATCTCCATGTCGATGACTGGACAAATATATTATCAGCCTCGGTAGCAATCAGCCGCAATATAAATACCTATGTATGAATAACTATACACAATACAATCTCATTGTCAGGTGGAACGTATCC